TGATCTTATCTTTTTTGTACATAATGTTTCTGCCATTGTTTCCTATAACCGAAAAGAGCTTGTGGACATCAGAACAGCTATCACTAACCTCGATTTGGATGAGGACTTCTACTTCAAAGAGTCAGAGGCGAAAGACATTGATTATCCCGGACCAGGCCCAAATCCCAACACTCGAAGAAGGAGGAGACGGCGCTATAGAGGCCGGCGTGCAGGATACCTGACGAGACTACGTCGGAGAGTGGATCAATCGCCTCTACCCGCCGTTCATTGCCGAACGTGCAATCACTGGAGAATAAACTGGATGAGCTCTGTTCGAGACTATTCTATCAAAATGTTCTGAGGAACTGTTATATCCTGTGTTTCTGAGTCGTGGCTGAACAAGGACATGCTAAATATAAACCTAGCTGTTTTTTCTATACATCGGCAGGACAGAACGGTGGCATCGGGGAAGATCAAGGGAGGTGGTGTGTGTCTCTTTGTTAACAACAGCTGGTGCGCAATCTCTAATATTAAGGAAGTCTCAAGGTTCTGCTCCTGAGTTAGAATGCCTCATGATAAGTTGTAGACCATACTATTTACCACCACAAAACGATGCTGGCACTTAGACCGCACTCAACAAGCTGTATGGGGCCATAAGCAAACAAGAAAATGCTCACCCAGAGGCGGTGCTCCTAGTGGCCGGTGACCTTTTAATGCAGGAAAACTGAAATCTGTTTTACCTCATTTCTATCAGCATGTCACCTGTGCAACTAGAGGCGAAAACACTCTAATCACCTTTACTCCACACAGAGCTCTCCCTCGCCCTCCATTTGGCAAATCTGACCATAACTCTTATCCTCCCGATTCCTGCTTACAATCAAAAACTCAAACAGGAAGTATCAGTGAAGCTACAGGACTGTTTCGCTTGCACAGACTGGAATATGTTCCGGGATTCATCCAATGGCATTGAGGAGTTTACCAGAAACAAATTTGTGCACAAAATTTGAGAGAAATAAGCTTTTGTGAGTATGGAACATTTCTGGGATCTTTTATTTCAGAGCATGAAACATGGGACCAACACTTTACATGTTGCTTTGATATTGTTGTTCGGTATATTTAAATCCTGTCAAGACATTCCTCAGTTTCTTTCCAGTTGTGCGTGTCCAAGTTAAGAGTAAGTTTGTTTCCAATTGTCACACCAGCCTTCGCTTTGGCTCCCCCTCCTGTTCAGCCCAGGCGTTCGCCATCGGCCTTCTAGCTGCTGCCGAACCTAATGCTGGCAAACGCCCTTCACTCATCATTACATTTTACATTTTAGTCATTTAGCAGACGCTCTTATCCAGAGCGACTTACAGTTAGCGCATACATTATTTTATCGAACCCACAACGCCATGCTCTACCAACTGAGCTACATCCCCTATCATCTCCGGACTTGTCTCATCATCATTACACACACCTGGTTCCAATCCCCACTCTATCACTGTATATTTACTCCCTCTGTCATTTGTCGGTCATTGTAAATGTTACTTGTTTTCCTGAGAGGAATCTCTCCTACTATTTCCTGAGTACTTTACTTTAGCCTTTTTGTTTATTAAGATATATTTTGAGCACAACAGCGTTTTGGTTTCGTTCTGCTTTGATCAATGGTGCTTAAATAAATTCAGTAGTTCTAAACCTGCAACTGCCTACTCCTCTACACTTGTGACACCAATTGTCCACATATTTTTGTTAAGTCATAACATTAAGATGTCATGTAATATCCTTATTTTAATTATTTAGATATATTGGTCTAATAGATTAATCCTTATCACCTTTACCTTTTATGCAACCTGCTCATAATGTCTCTCTTTTGTTGCCGAACCACACACAAATCCAACTTTGCCTTGTCCAACCACAAGTCCTTAATAAATATGTGAACTTTGGCACGGTCTCTGTCGTCTGCTTATTCTCTGACTGGAGCAGAGTACCCCTGGTGACATCTATCCAACCAGTTACCTATCTTGGGTTTCTTAGACTATATTTCAGCAGCCATATTGGACATGACCCCATGTGGGTAATGGGAAAAATCTGCGATGGCACTATAGCCAAAAATACTTTAGACATGCCCTAGCTGTGTGTGAACTTTGGTGGCTTTATCACCAAGTCCAAAACATTTCCCCATAGCCGCTGGACTATGGTCAAAATGACCTCAATATGACCCCCATGAAGGGCTTAAGAGTATTTTATGATCAGAATTATTGTCTATATTATCTGTGGGATTTATTTAGTGGGTATGTAACATTACAAAGTCATTTTTGTATTGTTTGGAATTATTTTCATTGCCTTTCTCTTAAAAAAAGTATATACATACATTTCACTGTGACCTGCTGCTGCTGACTATCAGACAGTGAGCAGGCTGTTACTGAGTGAGTGAATGAATGGTGGAGAGAGGGAGGGCGGGAGGGGTGTGTGAGTTGAGAGCACTGATTGAGAGAGTGCTGTAGCAGAGGCAGCTGAGTCACTGAGACAGAGCAGCATGTGCGTAAGTCCTGACAACTTTCTACCAGTTGTAGGTAGGCTATTTAGATTGGTCATTATGGAGACACCCTTTATCCATAAAACATATTCACGCGCTAGAACTGATATAACGGCCACAAAGCATTGGAAAACTACTTTACGCGCCCTAGAGCGCTTTAGATAAATTCGCTTAGAGGTGGTTTAAAGTCAACTGCATTCTAATGTCGACTTTTCTTATAGATAACAGTATCAAGCGAAGGGTTTTACTCATGCTCAGTTCTAGGGTTCTAGGGTCTAAGGTGGAAATTTGAAATGGAAGTTATGGAACTCTCATGTGCTTGTGTTATGGGAAAAAGTTCACACTAAAAGTTACATTGAATGATAGCCTAATTTATAGCCAACAGATGCAAATGTAGCCTATTAATGTATATGCCATTGCAGGCTACTGTAGCCTACCATTTGATACAATAAATATATTGAAATGACAATATCACTGGAGTCATTGCAAATCCATTTGTGCCACTTGTTTAGCCTACCTGGAGCTGGCAAACATATTTAATAAATAGCCTATAACTCAGTTTGTTGTTGTAGCCTTGTGTTATTATGCGATTATAAATGGCCATGTTTAGTTAATTAAATTGGAAGTTATCAATTGATCATCATTCTTCACATTTAATGTCAGTTTCATTGTGTACTTTTCCCTAAAATGAGACATGGCCTATCAGGGACTATAGGCTACCTGCATCTAGCTCAGCAAACCATGGCAAAGTTGAATTGCAATTATAAACCCAGATTTTAGTCTGTAACCTATGCCTATTGAAATAACAAGTCAATCTCGCAAATGGGCCATTTATAACAGTTTGTAGTCTTAATATCTGGCACATAATAACGGCACCATTGCCAGAAAATAGCATTCATTTTTTGAAGTTCATCCAAGTGTTTCTTGCACAGAGATTTGGAGATCCTCTGTCCAACTTTCATAACTCAAACTCTCCTGCCGGATTTATCAAACAGGATTTATTTACAATTATAAACTGATGGATGGATTCTGAGAATTCAACCTTTTTCTTTTACAAGAATTAAGACATATCACAACTCTTTTCTTACCTTAAGATTCTCCTTAACTGGCTCCAAACTCCCACACAGAAGTCTGGGAAGGCGAATCACGACATCCCGTGTCTGAAAGAACATACAATTGATTAAGAATGTATGGGTAAAATAATCTTATTCATAATCTTACTGTATGTAATTTGTGGTGTGATTATTCTATGAAAACTGTAGTGGGACAAAACAATGTGATCAATTGTGTTTGTCTTGGGTCAATCCTTTCACACCAAATTGTTTTCCAAATTCAAACCTGACCTTCTGAGCCCTGAGGCCCAACACCATTATCCCAGAAACCCTAGACCCACTCCAATTTGCATACCGCCCCAACAGATCCACAGATGATGCAATCTCTATTGCACTCTACACTGCCCTTTCCCACCTGGACAAGAGGAACACCTACGTGAGAATGCTATTCATTGACTACAGCTCAGCGTTCAACACCATAGTGCCCTCAAAGCTCATCACTAAGCTAAGGATCCTGGGACTAAACACCTCCCTCTGCAACTGGATCCTGGACTTCCTGACGGGCCGCCCCCAGGTGGTAAGGGTAGGTAACAACACATCTGCCACACTGATCCTCAACACGGGGGCCCCTCAGGGGTGCGTGCTCAGTCCCCTCCTGTACTCCCTGTTCACCCATGACTGCATGGCCAGGCACGACTCCAACACCATCATTAAGTTTGCCGACGACACAACAGTGGTAGGCCTGATCACCGACAACGATGAGACAGCCTATAGGGAGGAGGTCAGAGACCTAGCCGTGTGGTGCCAGGATAACAACCTCTCCCTCAACGTGACCAAGACAAAGGAGATGATTGTGGACTACAGGAAAAAAAAGAGGACAGAGCACGCCCCCATTCTCATCGACGGGGCTGTAGTGGAACAGGTTGAGAGCTTCAAGTTCCTTGGTGTCCACATCACCAACAAACTATCATGGTCCAAATACACAAAGACAGTCGTGAAGAGGGCACGACAAAGCCTATTCCCCCTCAGGAGACTGAAAAGATTTGGCATGGGTCCTCAGATCCTCAAATGGTTATACAGCTGCACCATCGAGAGCATCCTGACTGGTTGCATCACTGCCTGGTATGGCCTCCGACCGCAAGGCACTACAGAGGGTAGTACGTACGGCCCAGTACATCACTGGGGTCAAGCTTCCTGCCATCCAGGACCTCTATACCAGGCGGTGCCCCCCCCCCTCATTTTATACTACAGATAATTTCTAAATAATGTATCAATGAAATGTATCACCTGCCATAGTCCTATAAGAGCTGAAGCTGACAGACAGGCGATACAACACTTGTCTACAGCTATAGGTATATCAGATGGAAACACCAAGTGTACTCTCTGTCCCTAAGATAGTCAACCCTATGTGTTGCTGACTGTGGCAAACTCAACCTGCCAATACGACAACCACAATATCTGCCTCTGTATCTGGCCTGCAGGTTCTCCAGGCTCTCTGTGAGGTTGAAAGGGTTGTGGCTGATCGGGTAGCCCAGCCGAGAGTCCTCCACTCCCAGCTGCTTCAGGAACACCAGCCGGGGGGCCACGTCTGTCTGGACGTCCAGCCTCAGCAGCATGGAGCCCATTTTGGGTCTCTGCTCCAGTTTCCATAGCCGAACACCTGAAGAGGGAACCAAAGGGTTAACACCAGGGTCGCATTCATAAGTGCACACTGTGGCAAAATGCTTTGAAGTGGAAAACATAAGCAAACGTTTATATTTGCGTAAATTCATGTAATCCCTCCCCATTTGTCCATTGATTTCAGCTTGGTGCCTGGTCAATACAATCCAGAGACATAGATATACAGAATATCTATTGCTCTGGTTCACTTCATACTAGACCAGGGATGGGCACTTTGATGGGGGTGGGGGCCACACAAAATCTGAACCCAACATGAGGGGCCTCAGTGGCTCGCAGGTCGGCATACCCACACATGCAGTCAGAGCCGGCCCTAGCCTTTTGGGGGCCCTAAGCTAAATTTTGCCCCCACCTTGCGAGCAAAGCATTTTAGCGGCCCCCCTCTGGACAGCGGAGATAAAATTAAATAAAAATTGGAGCAAATTTCATGCAATTCTACAAATTTTGCAATGGGGCGTAGAGAAAATGTTGAAGTTTTAAACCAAGTTTGCTGGAATTCTACACATTTTGCCACGAGGCGGAGAGAAGATTTTTGAATTTTATAACAAAATGTGCCGTTTTACAGCTAATTTCCTACAATTCAACACATTTTGCCAAAGGGTGGAGAGACATGTTCGCCGTTTTTAATATGATATCTAAGTGAGAGTGACTAACAAAATCAATGGAGGCCACCCGGTCTGTAATTTGACCATGATTACTACAAGTTTAGATAGCTGGCCGCTAGACTAATTTACCAATCTAATTTTTTTTGCTGAAATGGCCGTAACTACATACAAGGTCCGGACCGCCGTATTTTTTTATAATTTGAAAAAACAAGGAATAACATAAATATACACTACCGGTCAAACGTTTTAGAACACCTACTCATTCAAGGGTTTTTCTTTATTTTTTACTATTTTCTACATTGTATAATAATAGTGAAGACATCAAAACTATGAAATAACACATATGTAAATATCTTATCAAAAAAGTTAGGAACAAAAAATAAAAAAGGTATGTTTCAATATGAACATCTCCACATGGCATATCTTCCCTATAGGCCAACATTCAAATGCAATGAATACAGTTTAAAAAATGTCCTATGTTTTCGTTTTGTCACTGATGCTATGTGTCAGTGTGAATAATTTCTCATATGTCCCCCCTTTCAGGGTTATAACATTACAATTGTATAGCTAATAGGCTACAGTGGGGGAAAAACGTATTTAGTCAGCCACCAATTGTGCAAGTTCACCCACTTAAAAAGATGAGAGAGGCCTGTAATTTTCATCATAGGTACACGTCAACTATGACAGACAAATTGAGAAAGAAACATCCAGAAAATCACATTGTAGGATTTTTAATGAATTTATTTGCAAATTATGGTGGAAAATAAGTATTTGGTCACCTACAAACAAGCAAGATTTCTGGCTCTCACAGACCTGTAACTTCTTCTTTAAGAGGCTCCTCTGTCCTCCACTCGTTACCTGTATTAATGGCACCTGTTTGAACTTGTTATCAGTATAAAAGACACCTGTCCACAACCTCAAACAGTCACACTCCAAACTCCACTATGGCCAAGACCAAAAGAGCTGTCAAAGGACACCAGAAACAAAATTGTAGACCTGCACCAGGCTGGGAAGACTGAATCTGCAATAGGTAAGCAGCTTGTTTTGAAGAAATCAACTGTGGGAGCAATTATTAGGAAATGGAAGACATACAAGACCACTGATAATCTCCCTCGATCTGGGGCTCCACGCAAGATCTCACCCCGTGGGGTCAAAATGATCACAAGAACGGTGAGCAAAAATCCCAGAACCACACGGGGGGACCTAGTGAATGACCTGCAGAGAGCTGGGACCAAAGTAACAAAGCCTACCATCAATAACACACTACGCCGCCAGGGACTCAAATCCTGCAGTGCAAGACGTGTCCCCCTGCATAAACCAGTACATGTCCAGGCCCGTCTGAAGTTTGCTAGAGTGCATTTGGATGATCCAGAAGAGGATTGGGAGAATGTCATATGGTCAGATGAAACCAAAATAGAACTTTTTGGTAAAAACTCAACTCGTCGTGTTTGGAGGACAAAGAATGCTGAGTTGCATCCAAAGAACACCATACCTACTGTGAAGCATGGGGGTGGAAACATCATGCTTTGGGGCTGTTTTTCTGCAAAGGGACGACTGATCCGTGTAAAGGAAAGAATGAATGGGGCCATGTATCGTGAGATTTTGAGTGAAAACCTCCTTCCATCAGCAAGGGCATTGAAGATGAAACGTGGCTGGGTCTTTCAGCATGACAATGATCCCAAACACACCGCCCGGGCCACGAAGGAGTGGCTTCGTAAGAAGCATTAAGGTCCTGGAGTGGCCTAGCCAGTCTCCAGATCTCAACCCCATAGAAAATCTTTGGAGGGAGTTGAAAGTCCGTGTTGCCCAGCGACAGCCCCAAAACATCACTGCTCTATAGGAGATCTGCATGGAGGAATGGGCCAAAATACCAGCAACAGTGTGTGTGAACCTTGTGAAGACTTACAGAAAACTTTTGACCTGTGTCATTGCCAACAAAGGGTATATAACAAAGTATTGAGAAACTTTTGTTATTGACCAAATACTTATTTTCCACCATAATTAGCAAATAAATTCATAAAAAATCCTACAATGTGATTTTCTTTCTCATTTTGTCTGTCATAGTTGACGTGTACCTATGATGAAAATTACAGGCCTCTCTCATCTTTTTAAGTGGGAGAACTTGCACAATTGGTGGCTGACTAAATACTTTTTTTCCCCACTGTATATGTTTGTAGATCGACTGAGTTGAATGAACCTACAGCAGCCAAGGTGATAATGGATGGGGTCATTTTTGCTTGTATTTGCTGTTCTCCAAATAGCATTTAACCTTTTTTTAAATTATATAGAAATGCAGTAAATGAGCTTAGACTTTTAAAAAATGTCCTGTGGGGAGGGGCACTCCACCCCCCAACCCATCCCACCTCGCTAAAACGCAAACCCTGGTTACGGACCTGTTCGCTGAATTGGCCACCAAGTTGCCCATCCCTGCACTAGATGGGGAAGTAATGGCTAATCAGATACAAACCCTAAAAGGACTGAACCTACCTAGCTGTACAAGCTTGCTGAGTGTCTCTGACTCGTTGACATAGTCTTTGAGGGAGATGGATACAGCAGGCAGGGCAGCTGGGATGTCCATACGAACCGCCTCCTCATCACTGATCTCTTCTAATGCAGAGTGGCCTGGGGCATCTTCCAAATCTGGAGAGGGCAAAAACATTAGGGAGAAATGACCACAGTGTGTGTGTGTGTGTGTACAGGGGTAGCATTAGTACCTAAAGCTGTCTGCCACTCCTTCAGCGACATACCTCCATCTCTGAGTTGATGGGAGAGAGAATTCTGATACGGCACCATATTAGTCCTAGGGAACTCATCAGTATCCTTGTGTTTCGTTTGAGATGGTTGGATCTTGGCATGAGATTCATAGTAACTCCGCACTCCTAGTTTCCACCTCTGTTGCGTCTGAGATGGGTTCTGTCTTCTCTGGAGCATGGAGGGCAAGACTGGAACACTGAAATAATTCCGGAGGGCTGCAGGGCAATGCTGGGCATCGGTGGAATACTGGAGGGTGATCATACCCACAGTCCTTGACAGTAAATATGTACCTCTCTGACACAGCTGGATACAGGTTGAAGCCATGGAGAGATCTGTGGTAGAAACAAGAGTACATTAAATATATGCAGCTAACTGGAATAAAATGTCACGCAAGTCACACGTTGTTTAGCCACTACTGTGAATATTTAATATTTGAGCTTGACTGGTGGAGAATGTTGTTGTTTTGTAGAGAACAATAGATTATAAACAATGATTGAGGGGCATGTTTCATTGAGCTAATGGCTAGCTAGGTAGCTTGAATAGAGCAATCATACGGGTAGCCAGCAAGCAGATAGAGATAAAGTCGTTTTCGCAAGTTCAAAATGGATGAAACCATGCAATAAATTACAGAAATATGGGTCAAAACATGAATATGTCCGCTGAGCAGACGTAGAAACAACAACAGATAGAGCCAATGTCAGTCGACTCACGTGTGCGCTCTCACGGAATCATTAAGTGTCCCCTCCAAAGGACGTACCAAAATACGCATACAGCAGGGGAATTAGCCAGATCAACCTAAAACAAGCTATGAAGGACCAATTAAAAAAACTCCCTTGTCCTTTCATTGTGAATTTCTGGTGATCTAAATAGTAAAATGTAAACTATTTTTAAAGAAAGATTGCAGTGGAATTACTTGGGAGTGTTGGTATTGGAATGTGCATTCCCACCACACCCCTATAGTTTGTTGAGTTGATTGGCCGTTTTCAGGTTTGCTCAGTCCTCTCTCCGCCCATAGCCAGTCCTCATCAATTTATTTAAAGACAGGTCAACCTGTCCTGTCGAGAAGTGCTGACACAGGGAATGTTGTGGACGAAACTCCTTATCCCTCGCCATGGCGCCTGCTTTGGGGTCCCAGAAATTAAGCAAGGATGATGTGAATGACATGTTACACTTTCAGATGATTAACGAGCAACAAGTGGAGGACATCAGCATCAACTTTTTCTACAAGCCTCACACTCTCACCCTTTTGACGTTCACTGTGGCTAGCTTGATGTACTTCGTCTTTTCCAGGTAACCCAATAACCGTCGACAGCTCATTTGACTTGCCAGTAGGTCTAGTGGTTGTGATAACTTGGCCTAGCTATCTAACCCAAATTGTATAATTAAACTACATTTTAGTCATTTAGCAGACGCTCTTTTCCAGAGCGACTTACAGTTAGTGAGTGCATACATTTTTCATACTGGCCCCCCGTGGGAATCGAACCCACAACCCTGACGTTGCAAGCGCCATGCTCTACCAACTGAGCTACAGGAGGCCTAACTACAGATGATTAGACATTTAAAGGGAAAATATGCAGTTGCTACGTCCAGTTTTGGACTTATATGTACCCATTGATTCTTGAAGAATATAAGTTATAAATGCTTCATGAGCATAGTTCAACTGTCATACCCCATCAGAACCCAAAATATCAGCTTGTTTTACTCCAATGTTTGTAAACAAGGTAAATGTAAACAAACACTATATAGACTCAAAACATGGTTAAAACTATACTTTTGATATCATGGATGGTCAATCCGTGCATCCATAGCTAAGAGCAATTTCTCAAGTAAGAATTTTGTTAGGACTGTCTGGGAGTACTCTGAGTGGGGAGGAGAAAACTGAAAACAAGCTGTTATTGGCAGAGAGGTTTGGAACTCTCTTTCATATTGGTCTATGAAATACTTTACGGCCTGGTGTTGTCACCAGGCAGGCCAAAACTCCATCCCACCAAAACAAGCTGAAATTTCAGCTGCTCTTTTCAAACAGCTTTCACACTAAAAGGGCATTATCATAATTTTCATAATTTCACAGTATCATTCCAACCTCATAGTATGGAAAATATATAAAACACAGGAAAATCACGTTTTTGACTGCACTGGGCCTTTAATGTTCTTTATTGTAATAATATACAATGCTGAACATGCAATAATCAAACAAACTTTTTTAAATGTCACATTTGACTTTTACTGTATCAAAGTAAACCTCACTTTATCCTCTGAGAATAATGTACATATTGCATATCTCAGCCAATGCTTTTTGATATCAAACCCTGCTCTCTTTGCCAGGGATGATGCAGATGTTGACAACAACTTTCGAGTGGGTTTCCTGTTGGTTGTCTTCTTCTTCCTCGTCATCAGTGTCCTGGCCTTCCCCAATGGTACTCACTCAGTCACTGCCTTGTACTTGACAATAGCCCAGCCCAGCACCTGGTAGAAAGGGTGTGTCTGCATGGGGTGGGTGGGAGGAATGTTGTTCTAGTGTAGATAAATGGTCACATAATAGACATTCAGGTCTTTCTGGTTCATCCAAGGTCCAAAACTAGTCTTCAGCATGGCCTCTTGCAGCTTGACATGGTTTTGACTGTGAGTGAATGGGATACTCACTGCTAGCGGTTATGCTACGTTAACTTTTGAAGTGCAGTATATGAGGGTTTTGGTCAATCCACTCTGATAATGGTTGATACATGTAAATGCATTATTAATCCTCTTCAGGTCCATTCACCAGACCACATCCTGCGATTTGGCGCATGGTATTTGGTGAGTAGGCCTACTGCACAGTACAACAAGTCACATCGTCAGTGGAGCTCCTTTATGGAACCATGTCCATGGAACTCCGCTCTGATTGGTTCCTTCCTGTTGTTGTCAGGTCTGAGTGTTCTGTACTTCCTGTTCCTGGTCTTCCTCATCTTTCTGAACTGGGCCCAGGTGAAGAGGATCATGTACTGGGTGGACCCCAACCTACGCTACGCTACCCGTGAGGCTGATGTCATGGTGAGTCATTTTAATCTCTGTATGCTACAGTATCCACCTCATGCCAGACACCATATTCGTGAGTAGGGTGAAGTTGTCCCTAGACGCTGATTAAGTGATCATAGTTTGAGTTTGGATTCTGCACTCCACCACTCCCTATGTGGTAATGTTATCCAATGAAATTTGCAGAAGGTAATACCAGCTTTCTGTAAGAGGGCGAACCATAAGACGTTGAGGACAGAGTTACCACTGAGCCTAAAGGATTATTCAGCATTGGGTTAAACGATTGGCATCAGCCTGCCCAGCCCATGTGGATACTGTTGCCATGTATGAGGGACAGTTTCAAAAACGTTATTAGTAAAACTGGTACTGTTAAATATTGACAACTTTTATCTCATCATGCAAAAGCTGTGAGATAAAGAAAATTAAATGGCTGTTACACTTAAAATAAAATTGTATTTGTCACACGCTTCATAAACAACTGGTTTAGACTATCAGTGAAGTTCGGGCAGTTCCCAACGATGTAGGGAGAAACGAGAAATAATAGAACAATTATAAAGAGGAATAAATACACACTGAGTAACGATAACTTTGAAATATACACGTGGTACCAGTACCGAGTCGATGTGCAGGTGTACAAGGTAATTGAGGTAGGTATGTACAGTACATATAGGTAGGGATAAAGTGACTAGGCAACAGGATAGATAATAAACAGTAACAGCAGCGTATGTGATGAGACGAGTTAGTGCAAAAAGGGTCAATGCAGATAGTACGGGAAACTATTTGGTTAACTATTTAACTAACTATTTAGCAGTCTTCTGGCTTGGGGGTAGAAGTTGACCGCCTGGTATGGAGGTCCTGGATGTCAGGAAGCTCGGCCCCAGTGATGTACTTGGCCGTACGCACTACCCACTGTAGCACCTTGCGGTCGGATGCCAAGTAGTTGCCATACCAAGCGGTGATGCAGCCAGTCAAGATTCTCTCAATACTACAGCCCTGTCGATGTGGATGGGCGCGTGCTCGGCCCTCCGTTTCCTGTAGTCCACGATCAGCTCCTTTGTCTTGCTGACCCCACTGCCAGGTCTCTGACCTCCTCCCTGTAGGCTGTCTCATCGCTGTCGGTGATCAGGCTTACCACCCACTGTCGTCAGCTAACTTAATTATGGTGTTGGAGTCGTGCGCGGCCACGCAGTCGTGGGTGAACAGGGAGTACAGGAAGGGACTAAGCACGCACCCCTGAGGGGCCCCCGTGTTGATGGTCAGAGTGCCGGATGTGTTGTTGCCTACCCTCACCACCTGGGGCGGCCCGTCAGGAAGTTGCAGAGGGAGGTGTTTAATCCCAGGGTTCTTAGCTTAGTGATGAGCTTGAAGGGAACTATGGTGTTGAACGCTGAGCTGTAGTAAATTAACAGCATTCTCACATAGATGTTCCTTTTGTCCAGGTTGGAAGGGGCAGTGTGGAGTGCAATAGAGATTGCATCATCTGTGGATCTGTTGGGGCGGTATGCGAATTGGAGTGGCATACGTCCAGGGTGTCTGGGATGATGGTGTTGATGTGAGCCATGACCAGCCTTTCGAAGATGTAATGTCTACAAATGTGAGTGCTACGGGCGATAGTCCTTTAGACAGGTTACCTTGGCGTTCTTGGGCACAAGGACTATGGTGGTCTGCTTGAAACATAGGTATTACAGACTGGGTCAGGGAGAGGTTGAAAATGTCAGTGAAGACATGCTCTGAGTATGCGTCCTGGTAATCCATCTGGCCCTGCAGCCTTGTGAATGTTAACCTGTTTAAAGGTCTTACTCACATTGCCAGCAGCAAACCACCCTGCATCTTACTGCTGGCTTGCCTCTGAAGCTAAGTAGGGTTGGTCCTGGTCAGTCTCTGGATGGGAGACCAGATGCTGCTGGAAGTGGTGTTGGAGTGCCAGTAGGAGGCACTCTTTCCTCTGGTCTAAAAAATAAATCCCAATGCCCCAGGGCAGTGATTGGGGACATTGTCCTGTGAAGGGTGCTGTCTTTAGGATGGAACGTTAAACGGGTGTCCTGACTCTTTGTGGTCACTAAAGATCCCATGGCACTTATTGTAAGAGTAGGATTGTTAACCCTGGTGACCTGGCTAAATTCCTGATCTGGTCCTCATACAATCATGCCCACCTAATCATCCCCAGCTTCCAATTGACTCATTCCTCTCCCCTGTAACTATTCCCCAGGTTGTTGCTGTAAATGAGAATGTGTTCTCAGTCAATTTACATGGTAAAATAAGGTTAAAATAAATAAAATTGGCTACAGAGAGCGTGATCACTCAATCGTCCGGAACAGCTGGTGCTTTCATGCATGGTTCAGCGTTGCTTGCCTCAAAGCGAGCACAGAAGATATTTAGCTCATCTGGTAGGCCCCTATCACTGGACAGCTCGCGGCTGGGTTTCCCTTTGTAATCTGTGATAGTTTGCAAGCCCAGCCACATATGACGAGCGTCTGAGCCGGTGTAGTAGGATTCGATCTTGGTCATTTGACGCTTTGCCTGTTTGAGGGCTTAGCGGGGTTTCTTATAAGCGTCCAAATTAGTGTCCCGCTCCTTGAAAGCGGCAGCTCTAGCCTTTAGCTCTGTCCAGATGTTGCCTGTAATCCATGGCTTCTGGTTGGGATATGTACGTACGGTCACTGTGGGGATGACGTTGTCGATGCACTTATTAATGAAGCCGGTGACTGATGTGGTAAACTCCTCAATGCCATTAGATGAATCCCAGAACATTTTCCAGTCTCTGCTAGCGAAACAGTCCTGTAGATTAGCAGCTGCTTTATTGGACCACTTCCGTATTGAGCGCGTCACTGGAACTTCATATTTGAGTTTTTGCTTGTAAGCAGGAATCGGGAGGATAGAGTTACGGCCAGATTTAACAAATGGAGGGAGAGCTTTGTGTGTGTGTGTATGTATGTGGAGTAAAGGTGATTAGAGTTTTTTCGCCTCTAGTTGCACAGGTGACATGCTGGTAGAAATTGAGGTAAAACGGATTTCAGTTTTCCTGCATTAAAGCCACTGGCCACTAGGAGCGCCACCTATGGGTGAGCATTTTCTTGTTTGCTTATGGCCCTCTACGGCTTGTTGAGTGCAGTTTTAGGCCAGCATCGGTTTGTGGTGGTAAATAGACAGCTACGAAAAATATAGATAAACTCTCTTGGTAAATAGTATGGTGTACAGCTTATCATGAGGTATTCTAACTCAGGTGAGCAGAACCTCTAGACTTCCTTAATATTAGAGATTGCGCACCAGCTGTTGTTAACAAAGACACACATACCCTGAGCTTCCTCGATGCCACCGTTCTGTCCTGCCGATGTATAGAAAAAACATGTATTTATATTTACCATGTCCTTGTTCAGCCACGACTCTGAGAAACATAGGATATTACAGTTGTTCAGATCACGTTGATAGGATAGTCTTGAACTGAGTTTATTCTCCAGTGATTGCATGTTCGCTAATAGAACAGAGGGTAGAGGCGATTTATCCGCTCTTCGACGTAGTCTCGTCAGGTATCCGTTAGATTAATTTGGATTTTAAGAATAATGACTAAAGGATTTCACCCCAAATACAGTATAAATGTTAGAATTATCATGTAGTGTCAAACCACTAACAGAGGGGGCGGTACTAAACATTCAAGGGTGAAGGGGAAGGCGGAAACTGTTTAGAAAAGCCACCTAAAGGTGGGAGGAGTCAAGTTCAGGAAGTATAAAATCGTATGTTTGTGTTTTTGGCGTCAGAGCTCTCCATGAATAAATATACAGATAATACTTGTGGGTTGTGGACCTTGAATCATTGATGATTAAAACCAGAGCCTTACAACCTCTGGTAATGATTCAAGCTAAGGTTGAATTAGAGATAGAAATTCACGTGACAGTATCCCACAAGCCGGCCTTCTATGGCGCTGTCTCCTCCTTCTTCGAGTGTTCGGGATTTGGGCCTGGTCCGCAATAATCAATATCTCTTTTGTCTCCGACTCATTGAAGTAGAAGTCCTCATCCAAATCAAGGTTAGTAATGGCTGTTCTGATGTCCAGAAGCTCTTTTCGGTCATAGGAAACAATGGCAGAAACATTATTTGCAAAAAAAGTTAAGATAAGTGCAAAAAAATACACAAAATAGCACAATTGGTCAGGAGCCCATAAAATGGCCGCTATTCCCTCCAGCGCACCATCCTAGTCTCGCAAGGCCTTCCTTCCAAATCTCTTTGACTCAACTATAGGTGAGCGAAGCCTGGGCATCCAAGGCTAGCATCATCATGACTCACCATACTGCCCATCCACCACTGTCTTGTTACGTGTCTTATCTGCCTCTTCTGTGTCCGTGTCTTACCTGGCACTTCTGTGTCCGTGTCTTACCTGGCTCTTCTGTGTCCTTGTCTTACCTGGCTCGTCCGTGTCTTACTTGGCTCTTCTGTGTCCGTGTCTTACTTGGCCTTTCTCCCCCTGCAGGAATATGCAGTGAACTGCCACATGATCACTTGGGAGCGGATCCTGAGCCACTTTGACATCTTTGCGTTTGGGCATTTCGCGGGCTGGGTCATGAAGGCAATGCTCATCCGCAGCTACGCCCTCTGCTGGACCATCAGCATCACCTGGGAGCTCACTGAAGTAAATAATAGGTGCAAGGAAGTCTGTGTTTGCATCCCAAATGGCACCCTATTCCCTATACAGTGCACCTTTTTCTTAGCAGTGCACTATATAGGGAATAGGGTGTTGTTTGGGACATGTGTCTTTGTGAAGTGCTACTCGGTTTCCGTCAACAGATCCCATTTAGGTTTGAAACAGTATTTAGACTCTGATTGATTTGAAATATTCTATTGCATTGGCACGTTTGAGTCAGTTTGTAGCTCCCCATTCACCTCTGTCTCTCTCTCTCTCTGTCTCTCCCCCCCTCAGCTGTTCTTCATGCACCTGCTGCCTAACTTTGCTGAGTGCTGGTGGGACCAGGTGATCCTGGACATCCTGCTGTGTAATGGAGGGGGCATCTGGCTGGGCATGACTGTGTGTCGCTTCCTGGAGATGCGCACCTACCAATGGGCCAGCATCAAGTGAGTTCTCCTCCTATTGGATTCCTCCCTTCTCCTGTAGCGTTATGACAGATGACACAATACAGTTCACCAGTCCCAATTAAAATACATTATTCTACTTAATTTCTGCCTGCTCTGATTTAGTGCGTGTGTGCTTTCTCATCTATGTATGTCGCTTAATGCCTGTACAGTATCTCTGTGTTTAACCTTGTGTGCCTAACTGTCTGTCAACACCCATCAGTGTTACTTCCCAGTGTGTAAGTGTACCTTTCCCTGTATATCTGTATCTATGATGTGTCTTCAGAGACATCCATACGACCACAGGGAAGCTGAAGCGGGTTGTGCTCCAGTTCACCCCAGCCAGCTGGACCTACGTACGCTGGTTAGACCCCAAGTCCTCCTTCCAGAGGGTGGCAGGGATCTACCTCTTTATGATCCTCTGGCAGGTGAGCTCTACCCTCTGACCTGGAAATGATACATAGTATTTAGTGCCAGGATTAGAAGTCAGAATCCACACAGTTTGATGTAGTTACTCTGTGTATATTGACTTGAAAGTAATTTGTGATTGAACCCTTTTGGGAATCAAATGGAGTTAAACTATTTACAAAAATGTGTGGTGTTTTTTTTTATGTTGAGCTGTTGGTATGTTTTCTATGGTCTTGTCTTATTGAAGGTGGACTACTACATACCTGAAGGTTATGGGGTAGATTGTATGGTATCTAACTGTGGGTACAGTGATGTTTTAATATACATGTTGCTGTACTACTACTCTTCTCCCTGTCTGTCTTTTCTCCCTGTCTGTCTTTGCTGCCTTTCCTCTAAACAGCTGACTGAGTTGAACACGTTCTTCCTGAAGCACATCTTCGTATTCCAGGCGTCTCACGCTCTTAGCTGGTGCCGGATCCTCCTTCTTGGAATCATCACAGCTCCTACTGTGCGGTAGGGAGCCTTTCCACCACGCCACTCCGCCACTCCACACGTGTGCTCTACATTCCAGCGGCAGAAGGGAATTATGACAGTTAGACACGTGCAGTCTCTTTTCGTATAGATGGAATTTAGTTGGAAGAAGTTTTGAACGATTTCTGTAAACCCTTCTGTTTATCTTGATGATTTGACAGTTGTTGTTGTGATGGCTGTAGATAAACTGTATTAAATGTTTGTCTTCCTGTTCTTTCAGACAGTATTATGCTTATTTGACAGACACACGGTGCAAAAGAGTGGGGACACAATGTTGGATGTTTGGGTGAGTCTTTCCTGTATCCTCTAGTGGCCATTTCCTGCTGTTGCTTAACTCCACTCTAATCTTGCGGCCACGTCATTGACAAACTTCTCAGAAATGCTGTGGATGGGAAATTGGGTCTCGTCCAATTTTGTTCCAAATATTGATGCTGATCTTATCGCAGTCCTAAGCTGGTGATTGCCCCGACTAGGCTCTGGTAACCATGGTGACCAGACTTGCTCTCTCACTATAAAATAGAAAACAATGAGGCCCTTATATGCCCCTGACTTCACCCCTTCAAAGTACCCTCTGTAGTCTGGTGACTAGAATTAAGGAGGAAATGTATTTGTTTTCTGTGACTGTGTTTTAACATAGTGTGATTAACAAAAATATTGTTTAATAAAAAAACAAATTGATATTTTGATATAGATAATGCCTGTTGTAAAATGTAATTATTGTTAGAGGTGAATGTTTGGTGGTCCAGTGTCCGTTAACAACGGTCTCTATCTAACCCACAGGGCCATAGCCTTCCTGGAGGCCCTGGCGTGCGTTAAGTTTGGTCAGGACGTGTTCTCCAAAACACAAGCTCGGTCTGTGTTACAGTGGCTTCTGTGTGTGGTAAGGGCTGTGTCTCTCTCTCTGTCTCTGTCTCTGTGTGTGTGTTTTTCTATGTGTCTCTTTGTGTGTCGCTGTGTGTGTGCATGTGTTAACCTCCAAAACAATCCTCCCTGCTCCAATCCTCATACCTCAAGTATCCATAACAATGACATGTTATTTAGACTGTGTAATACCATTGGTATGCTCTGACATGTGACTGCTATGTGGGTGGTACTGTAAGTGCTCCCATTGTGTTGTCAGTGCTCTCTACATCTCTCCTTCTCTCTCTCTCTGTAGGCCTTCATCACACTTCTCTGTCTGTATGGGATGGTGCGGTATGAGCAAAAGTATGAGCCTGAGTTAAAGGTAAGTTTCCAGTCTATTGCACAGAAAGGCTATGTCGGCCTTTGTGTAGTGTAGTTTGGTCTTTCTAATTGCTATTTTTGCCTCTAACTGACCATCAAGAACCATCTTTTCTAGAGCGTCTCTGAGAGTGATGACGGCAACTTAATAGAGTCATGTGGTTACAGCCCTGATGACATCACAGGTAAGCGTTCGACTTAAGTGGAATGAGGTATTTATATATATATATACAGTACCAGTCAAAAGTTTGGACACACCTACTCATTCAAGGGTTTTTCTTAATTGTTTTACTATTTTCTAAGTTGTAGAATAATAGTGAAGACATCAAAACTATGAAATAACATGTAGTAACCAAACAAGTGTTAAACAAATCAAAATATATTTGAGATTCTTCAAAGTAGCCACCCGTTGCCTTGATGAGAGCTTTGCACACTCTTGGCATTCTCTCAACCAGCTTCCTGAGGAATGCTTTTCCAACAGTCTTGAATGAGTTCCCACATATGCTGAGCACTTGTTGGCTGCTTTTCCTTCACTCTGTGGTTAAAAAAACAACAAAAAACATATTTGCTGGTGTTTGTCAATGAGCATATTTCCTATATGTGTCCTCTTGTAGGTGAGAGAGACTCTCGGAATAACTCAGCCAGCCCATCTAAACGAAGGAGAGGCACTGGGAGAACCAAAGCTGCCAATGGACACAAAGATTAAAAGCAATGAGAGCCAATTAAGGGACTATGGTACATCCTTACTGCACCCAATAACTCTGTGGGGAGATGGAAGATAATTTGGGTAAGGAGGTTCAAGAGGTGGGGATATTACATTGGTTGAATATTTGGTTGAAGAACAATGACAAGGTAAATGAAGCATAAACTGAATGGAAAAGGCTGAGCAGAGAGCTTTACTACATTTAGATGTTAGTCATTTAGCATACGCTCTTATCCAGAGCGACATACTACACTTTGGTGACCGCCACCCACTTCACTGTGTGAGATCAACAACCAATCAACAAAAGTTGCATTTACCACTTGATGAGGAGACACCACATTTGAGTTTACCATTTTCACAGAATTGACTGTACACAAGGGTTTACCGACTGCATTTTTACTCTTCCCCCTCAATTTTTTCATTTTTTTTCTTCAAATGATGACCATAAATATTACGGGATGGATTTTATTTAACTTACAATGAAAACCGAAATGATGTGAAGCTAAAGCCTGAATTTTTTAGATTTTTATTTTTTATTTTTCCATATTCAGAGTTTGATTATTGATATTTTTTACTCAATCAGTTAAAGCTATATAGTTCATATTTTTCTATGAGAATTTTGAAGATAATTTCCATTTATTTCTACAGCTGACTAGTATTGAAATAGAGTTGGACAGATCTGTTTGGACAGATCTGTTTTTAAGATAATTCCAGGCCTTAAATGTTTTTAAAATGTTGATAATTTCATGATGACTCACTTTGTTCAAGTGAGTGTGGGAAAGGTAATTTGATTAACCTTTGTTTTTATACAAGCATTAACAGTGCATTTGTTTTGTATGAATTATGTGAACCGCATACTGTTGCAAGATAATTTATATGAATACAGCTTTCTAATAAATATTTAAAACCTGACAGAATTGTTTTTATTTTGTGGTCTTTTGTGTGACGAACAATTTCTACCAGCAGGTGGCAGCAGAGAATCATTCTTATCAAAGTTCTACTGAATATGTTTTAAATCTCATTGTTCTATCTATGGTCTTATTACTGGAGTGTTAGAGATTGATGGCAAAAAATATATAAAATAAAAAATAACCAAAAAAAAACTAAACATTTTTTTTTTTTTTTTATCAATCTCCCATGCATTGTGGATTGAACAAATGACACTAATAAAAAAAATGCATGCATACACGTATTTTGAAGATGTGAGTCTAGTGCAACTGTTTGTATTTATCGGTGGTGGGAAAAAGTACCCAATTGTCATGCTTGAGTAAAAGTAAAGATAAAAGATACCTTAGTAGAAAATCACTAAAGTGAAAGTCACTCAATAAAATACTACTTGAGTAAAAGTATTTGGTTTTAAATATACTTAAGTATCAAATGTAAAAGTATGAATCATTTCAAATTCTGTATATTAAGCAAACCAGACAGCACTTTTTTCTTGTTTTTTAAATGTACAGATCGCCAGGGGCACACTCCAACATCATCATTTGCAAACGAAGCATGTGTGTTTAGTGAGTCGGCCAGATCAGAGGCAATAGGGATGACCAGGGATGTTCTCTTGAATTGAACCATTTTCCTGTCCTGCTAAGCATTCAAAATGTAACGAGTACTTTTGGGTGTCAGGGAAAATGTATGGAGTAAAAAGTAAATTTTCTTCAAGAATGTAGTTAAGTAAAATTTGTAACAAATGGTAAAGTACAGATACCCCAGAAAACTAGTAGTAATTTTACTTAAGTACTTTACACCACTGGTATTTTTATTTTTCACTGGGAAATGTAGGCAACGTCACATTATTGAGCCTGTTCATTTCATTTGTCACTATGTCAGATACGTTTGATATTTATGTAATTTTAGGGTTACTTGCAGAGGCGCACAAGCGTGATTAATGCCTAAACTACATTTCCCATAGTTCTCCTTTACGTGAAGCTTCCTTGCATGATGGTAAATTGGAGGACTGAGCGCGCTGAACTCTACGATATGACAGGACAACTATCTGGCGCCTAGTCGAGATTCAATCTAGCTATGGCGGCCACGGGTGGAGGGAAAATTAGAAGCAGAAGATATCATATCGCTTCTAAACCTTACGCCAAAAGCAAACAGGTAAATGAAATGACCGTATTCGTATGGATGTTCCACATTGAAGGATAGTATGTAGTTTGTTGACAGTTGTCTTTTCGCTCTTGTGTTATTGTTTTCCTGGAGCCATTTAGTGTGGCCTAGTCTTAGCGCTCATGGCCTCCACGCTGTGTCAAGCTAGCTAACTAGCTAATTTAGCAACGTGATAGACATATTGCTTGTTCCGGGAACTAGCAAATATTACCAGCCCAATATCTATTAACCGGTGTGTATCTTAAGACAGTTACTGTAAGACTAACGGCAGCCATAATTATCTAAAACGCTGTCGTGTATAAATATTGCACTTTACTAGCTTAGCCGTAACACTGGCTTCTTGTCAAGTTTGCGTACCTGCTGCGTATCTATGCACTAGCAAGTAGTTATATAGGTTATGATGCTAACAACTAGCTAAATTTACAAGCTAGCAAGTATTGGCTAGCTTTTCATTGTTTCGCTGCCAACGTCATTGTCATGTAACGTTAGCTATGGCATATCATACCAGCTCTTTGTAGATTACATTATCTCCCTTTAATCATGAAAGTGAACTATATATTTTCTATGTTTTAAAGACAGTCGTCAGTGGGGTATATTGTCGTTTCTTAGCCGGTTAGCTAGCTACTAGTAAATAGCTAACGTTATGTGTAGTGCGCACAGTGATGGTTAGCGAGTTAGGTAGTTAGCTAGTTACTAATTTAAGAACTGTTTTAAGTCACCACACATGGTTGACTACTAGCTGAGTAAGTAGAGACTAGTTGCTAGTTAACGTTACGTGGTAACAATCTAAAAAGCAAAGGCAACACAAATACAATACAAACTGTCAACATTAGGCCATGATGGTAGATATTCGGTCTGTTTCCATATTTCTTGAAATCAAGGCAATATTATGACCTGGTTTTGTTAATCTCGAAAGTGGCATAAATGTGAGGCAGTGTGGAAACGTAACCAGTCGTAGCCTAGTGAGGTCACACCACAAGAAAGGCGGGATACATATACACTGAGCAGGGATCCTAGAGCCCTCTACGTTAGTCGTACTGCTAGCTAGTTGTGTGATATTTTTGTGTGTGTAGCTAACGTTAGAAATGATCATATATGTGAGTAGTAGTTAGCTAACTAACTTGTGCTGCGCTGACCTGGTTATTTATCTAACTACCTAGCTAATATCTTAGCTAGATAACGGCAGAGATCTGCAAACGGTAACGTTACTGTGATTTATTGGACTGCACATCTGATTTTGTGATTTTTGCAGGTAAATTCAATACAGCTCCCACTTATGTAATTGACTTGCAACCAGTCTGTTGGATGGGATTGTAGAATGAATTGTCATTGTTGTCCATGTTGTGTTTAGAACAAGGTCATTCTAAGTCATATCAGTGTCCAGATTTTCAGGACCATAAAACACCTTGATATTAAATCCCAGAGTAAGCTTTCATTAAGTCTTCAAAACATGTCAGTAAATAAATATATATACAGTACCAGTCAAAAGTTTGGACACACCTACTCATTCAAGGGTTTTTCTTTATTTAAAAAAATGTCTACATTGTAGAATAATAGTGAAGACATCAAAACTATGAAATAACACACATGGAATCATGTAGTAACCCAAAAAGTGTTAAACAAATCAAAATATATTTTATATTTGAGATTCTTGAAATAGCCACCCTTTGCCTTGATGACAGCTCTTGGCATTCTCTCAACCAGCTTCACCTGGAATGCTTTTCCAACCGTTTTGAAGGAGTTCCCACATATGCTTAGCACTTGTTGGCTGCTTTTCATTCACTCTGCGGTCCGACTCATCCCAAACCATCTCAATTGGGTTGAGGTAGGGGGATTGTGGAGGCCAGGTCATCTGATGCAGCACTCCATCACTCTCCTTCTTGGTAAAATATCCCTTACACAGCCTGGAGGTGTGTTGGGTGATTGTCCTGTTGAAAAACAAATGATAGTCCCACTAATCCCAAACCAGATGGGATGGCGTATCGCTGCAGAATGCTGTCGTAGCCATGCTGGTTAAGTGTGCCTTGAATTCTAAATAAATCACAGACAGTGTCACCAGCAAAGCACCCCCACACCATAACACCACCTCTTTCATGCTTTATGGTGGGAACTACACATGCGGAGATCATCCGTTCACCCACACCGCGTCTCACAAAGACACAGCGGTTGGAACCAAAAATCTCCAATTTGGATTCCAGACCAAAGGACACATTTCCACCGGTCTAATGTCCATTGCTCGTGATTCTTCTTATTGGTGTCTTTTAGTAGTGGTTTCTTTGCAGAAATTCGACCATGAAGGCCTGATTCACACAGTCCCCTCTGAACAGTTGATGTTGAGATGTGTCTGCGACTTGAACTCTGTAGCATTTATTTGGGCTGGTAACTCTAATGAACTTATACTCTGGGTCTTCTATTCCTGTGGTTGTCCTCATGAAAGCCAGTTTCATCATAGAGCTTGATGTTTTTTGCAATTGCACTTGAAGAAACGTTCAAAGTTCTTGACATTTTTCGTATTAACTGACCTTCATGTCTTAAAGTATACCCCCCTACCTTGTCACACAACTGATTGGCTCAAACGCATTAAGAAGGAAATAAATTCCACAAATTAACTTTTAAGAAGGCACACCTGTTAATTGAAATGCATTCCAGGTGACTACCTCATTTAGCTGGTTGAGAGAATGCCAAGAGTGTGCAAAGCTGTCATCAAGGCAAAGGGTGGCTATTTGAAGAATCTCAAATATAAAATATATTTTAATTTGTTTACACTTTTTTGCTTACTACATGATTCCATATGTGTTATGTCTTCACTATTATTCTACGATGTAGAAAATGGTAAAAATAAAGAAAAACCCTTGAATGAGTAGGTGTCCAAACTTTTGACCAAGTCCATATTATGGCAAGAACTGCTCAAATAAGCAAAGAGAAACAACAGTCCATCATGAAGGTCAGAAAATTAAGAACTTTGAACGTTTCTTCAAGTGCAGTCGCAAAAACCATCAAGCGCTATGATGAAACTGGCTCTCATGAGGACCGCCACAGCAATGGAAGACCCAGAGTTACCTCTGCTGCAGAGGATACGTTCATTAGAGTTACCAGCCTCAGAAATTCCATCCCAAATAAATGCTTCGCAGAGTTCAAGTAACAGACACATCTCAACATCAACTGTTCAGTGGAGACAGTGTTAATCAGGCCTTCATGGTCAAATTGCTGCAAAGAAACTACTACTAAAGGACACCAATAAGAAGAGACTTGCTTGGGCCAAGAAACACGAGCAATGGACATTAGACTGGTGGAAATTTGTCCTTTGGTCTGGAGTCCAAATTGGAGATTTTCTGTTCCAACCGCTGTGTCTTTGTGAGATGCGGTGTGGGTGAACGGATGATCTCCGCATGTGTATTTCCCACAATAAAGCATGGAGGAGGAGGTGTTATGGTGTGGGGGTGCTTTGCTGGTGACACTGTCTGTGATTTATTTAGAATTCAAGGCACACTTAACCAGCATGGCTACCACAGCATTCTGCAGCGATACGCCATCCCATCTGGTTTGGGCTTAGTGGGACTATCATTTGTTTTTCAACAGGACAATGACCCAAAATGCACCTCTATGCTGTGTAAGGGCTATTTTACCAAGAAGGAGAGTGATGGAGTGCTGCATAGATGACCTGGCCTCCACAATCCCCCGACCTCAACCCAATTGAGATGGTTTGGGATGAGTCGGACCGCAGAGTGAAGGAAAAGCGGCCAACAAGTGCTCAGCATATGTTGGAACTCCATCAAGACTGTTGGAAAAAGCATTTTAGGTGAAGCTGGTTGAGAGAATGCCAAGAGTGTGCAAAGCTGTCATCAAGGCAAAGGGTGGCTATTTGAAGAATCTCAATTCTAAAATATATTTTGATTTGTTTAAAACTTTTTGTTTTGTTTACTACATGATTCCGTATGTGTTATTCCATAGTTTTGATGTCTTCACTATTAGTCTACAATGTATAAAATAGTAAAAATAAAGAAACCCTGTAATGAGTAGGTGTGTCCAAACTTTTGACTGGTACTGTACATGTCAGCTGCATATTCCATTTGTTTGATTGGACCCCACAAGCATAAATTCTCTCTTCTGTCAACTGGGAAGTGCTGGAGAGGGAAGCAGTAGACCTACTCACTTTTAAATGTAAAAGTTATGAACGGTGTCATCACAGCAGTTGGTTTCAGGTTACTGACCTTGGCGGGAGGGGAAAAACAGGCGAGCGAAATCACAAATAAATAATTTTGTTGCTGGGGTGAGGCTTTCTCTCATTAGATTACAGATAGGGCCTCGCGTGACCTCCCTTGTAGGTTACACCCCCCCACCTTTGGTACTGATATAGTTATGCCTTCCAGGCCTAGTAGTCTTGTTTTAACATGTGTGGTCTGTATTCAGGAAGTGAGTCATGGAGCTAACCCACCCCTAGCTGAGGGGCATATTGTGGTGCCGTAGGCTCTTCCAGTCATATAGGAAATCATAAACATTGCATTTATATCTGTTTGTGTGGCGCCCCGAGCTAGTGTTGACAAAGGGTTTGAGATTTGGCAGCTTTAGTAGCGGTCCTTAATTATGAGTTGTGGTTGTGCTGGCACATGTAAAGAGACAGATGCCAGTTCAACTGCTGCTCTGTATTACCTCTCAGTTCTGTGCGCACGTTTGAAATGCACACAACTGAGCCTTTTTCTTGTATTTGAAAGGCTACAGTCAGTCAGACGCATTGTCCAGTTTGTTGTATAGGCTAGCAGCTCATTGGTTCACTTGAACGTCGTCTAATTGTACACCCCCAGACCCTATTTGCCCTCATCTCACTGTTTCAACCCCACACACACGCAAGTGCTTCATGGGAGAACAATGAGAGCAGCATTCTGGCATAGTCCTGTGGTCTCATGGCCCCATTCACAGGAGAAATGCAGCGTCCTTAAATCTGTAGAATCACAAGGGCTCCGTTCAAAGGCCTGCGAGCACTAACTGACCCTCTGAGAGGCTGGGCCTGGTACATAGGTTAGTTAGACTTATCTAGAGTGATTGGTTACACTGATCCGTGCTTAGTAAAACACTGAATTTAGTGTGGACAGGTTGAATAGCAGACGCGCTGCGCGACTGGTGCTTTTTACAGATAAGCAGAAGTGGAGTGGAGCATATGGTCGTTATCAGGAGTAGAAAGCTACCCAGAGAGTAGACTGGCCAATGTGCATGTGTAGTGGTGCTAGCTACATCATTTATACATCCCCTTGTCCTACGTTTTGCTATATACTTACTGCAGCAAAAATTAACTCAGGCTTGAGGCTTCTGCAGAACCATTCTAAAAGGACGTTTTAGTGTAGTTAATGGAGCTGGGTAGCGCTTAGGGACTCTCTTGTATTGTGATATTGGTTTAAAGACAGGAAGCATCTCCCTCTAGCTTGTAGATAGGCTTAAATCTACTGTAGAAGATGTGCGTACTGTTATGACATTATTCACTCCAGCACCAGTTCAGTGTGGACCTGCGCGACTCAGTGCTGCGTCAGACTCCCAGGTTTATTTGACAAAAGCAATGTCGCAAAAAAATAATAACATTGCGACGTGTGATGGAAACTGCAGCTATAGGAGAAAGGTTCTAAAGATAGACGTTTTTATCTGCTTGAAGGGGTGGATTTTTCTTTTGTCTAACTTTATTGGGACAAATGATGATTGTCGAATAATTTAAAAGGTATACGGGCCACGATGTCATCACGTAACTACAACTCTCCAGTTTCCACATTTAATTCTAAATGCCTACTGCTTGCTTAATCTTTCAAGAATGCCTGACTTGCTTCACCTTGCTTTTCTGGTTGGCTGGATGCAAGTTTCACTATCCAATTATTTCAGATCTACAGGAGTGCAAGTTTCACCATGACATGGGCTGTGGCGATACGTTGGCACATGAGAATTATTAGAATATGGCAAATATTAGTAAATTCTTGCATTATATCCATGCTGGCTTTTGCAGGCTACCTGAGACAGATAGGTGGGAGGGCATACAGGCTGTCGCCAATTTATTAATGTCAATTTGCCTAAATGGGTAATGGAAACACTTACACCACTGTTTCTATCTACACAAGACCATTAAATGGAAACCCACCGTAGCAGGCAATTGTCCCATCTATTTTCAATGCAAACTTTGTAAATGTCGACTAAAAATCACTGGACAAGTTAATGGAAACATAGCTACTGAGAGCTTTTGAGTAGGGCTTTGAGAGGAATTACTTTGCTGTGCACCCACTGCGGTCTCGTTCAATACCTAGTAACATATTCATCATCAGTGTGTTTGCCTTTTTTTGTAGTTTGTTGCCCTGAATAAATGTGTAGTTTGCTAGATACTGTAACAGTAGACGTTCACCAAACAGATGTTCATCATCACGGTTTTATTTTCTCATTTAAATATCAACCTATTGTCCTAAAAGTCTCCCTCCTTCCCATTTCTCTCTCCCTCCTCTGTTATCTCCACCCTTCTCTCCTCTTTCTGTTCACGAGCAGCAGTCAGGCCTGATTAGTCGAGTGACAGACACAGTCAAGAGCATCGTTCCTTCTTGGCTGCAGAAATACTTCAGGAACGGGGAGGCTGCAGAAGGGGGAGGGGCCATGGTGGGGGAGGAGCCGAATAGCCAGGCCCCTCCCCCTAATGACAGCGAGGAGGTAGACCCCCTTCCTGATGGACGGGACTCTGCAGAGCCCGGTAGCAGCAATACAGGTGAGCAGATATGGCATAATATACAGTATATCAGATATATTTATGACATATGGCAGACATCTAGCCCATTGGTGCTGTATTATATTTTTAGATATTTAATCCTTTGTTTTTGGATTGTTTAGCCTAATTCCAGTATTTGAACTTGCCTTGGGACCTCAGTGCAATTTTGAAGCTCAAAATATGGATCAACCCATCTTAACCCTAGTCATTTCAACCCATCTTAACCTCCAGAGCCTTCGACAAGCAGGGCATCCCTGAACTTCCAGGATGTTCTGTTGAGGCCCCCCCTCAACCGCACCCACCTCCACTTCCCCTCCCTGGACGCCTCCCCGGCCCTGCGGGGCCCCAGCTCCCTGTTCTCCGAGCCCTCCACCTCCTCCGCCCCTTTCTCCGGGGGCCCCTTCGCTGGGGCCTCGTCCAGCTTCACCCTGGTCAAGGAGATCAAGGACAACAGCTCCCAGCACGAGGACGACAACATCTCCACCACCAGCGGCTTCTCATCACGCGCATCAGAAAAAGGTAGTGTGTTTTGTGGATTGTGTGTGTGGAAAGTACTCAATCACATTTTGGCCACGAGCAATCCTGTTGAGGTCTAGAGTCAGCAGAATATATTTTAATGGTAGGAAGTGGCTGTGGGAAATAATTTCCCAAATTTTGAATATAACATTTTAGTATGCGTAGACAGTATTGCTGAAATTCAGTCCTTTGTTACATAGATGCATGACACAAGTTTGATTAATCACACAAAAATGTCTCTTCTCTGTCCCCAGATGTACCGAACTTTAAGACCACGTCGCTACCCCAGCTCTGGTCTCCGGAGATGGACCGGACCCACTCTGGGCCCCAGCAGTCCCAGTCCAGTCTCAAAAAGCCTGCCTTCAACCTGTCTGTCTTTGGGACTTCCTCCACTGTGAGTGTCAGTCAGTCAAGTCAGTCCTCCACTGTGAGTGTCAGTCAGTCGAGTCAGTCCTCCACTGTGAGTGTCAGTCAGTCAAGTCAGTCCTCCACTGTGAGTGTCAGTCAGTCAAGTCAGTCCTCCACTGTGAGTGTCAGTCAGTCGAGTCAGTCCTCCACTGTGAGTGTCAGTCAGTCGAGTCAGTCCTCCACTGTGAGTGTCAGTCAGTCGAGTCAGTCCTCCACTGTGAGTGTCAGTCAGTCGAGTCAGTCCTCCACTGTGAGTGCCAGTCTAGAGTCCGCAAACTCTACTCGCTTTGCTACCGATGTTAAATTGATTTACTTCGACCAGTTGCAATAATGACAGCTAATAATTTACCCAAATTCTTTACAGGAAAACCTGCATGCATGCATACATACATGTGGCTTGGAAACTTGCTGGTGCTGCATTATGATTGTGTTTGATATTCGGCCTCCATGTTTTTCTTCTCCGCTAGTCTACGTTGAACAGTTCAGTGCTGAACTCCAGTCAGTTGGGGGATTCCCCCTTCTACCCAGGGAAGACTACCTACGGGGGAGCGGCTGCTGTTAGAACAGGCCGCTCACGCACAGCCACACCTTACCAGGTAAGCTCCCCACTCCACTACAACTCACAAGTGTTTCCCTATTGATTTCCCCCCCCCCCCCCCCCCAAAAAAAAAAAAGCTATATTCTGGGCTGCCAGCACCAACAATTTCATTTCAAACAGATAGTAGATATGATGTTAGTCAGGGGAAATAGAGCTGTGATGCCCTGTGCTGAATAATAACAGATAGTAGATATTATGTTAGTCAGGGGAAATGCAGCTGCAGAGTTCAGAAATCTGCAGTTTTAAACCATTTCACTTGCGTTTTTATATTGAAAGTCAAGTGTTTTTTTTTGTTGTTGCCTCAATTGAGTGATCAGCAGCATGCATCTATAGTTTTCCTTCAGAGAAAATACATTAGTGCAACACATTTGGCAGACAATAGCTTGATTTTCATTGGATGACAGCAGAAGTGCAACACTATTTGGCTAGCAGCCACACCAGTAAATGAGCATTTTTGCAAAAACCATTTCTAATGTTTATCATAGAAAGAATGTAGCCAGCTACTATTCCTAATGTTTTGCTTGAAGTTAATCTTGCATTTTACCAGAGAAAAGTAGACTGGCTACACTGAGAAAAGTAGACTGGCTACACTGAGAAAAGTAGCTCCACATCAGTCAGAGCGCTGTCTGCTGATAGAACGCCCGTTTGTGAATTCTCATCCGAGTGGAGAAGTGCAACTGAAGCACAAAATTAGTCTGATTCTGGGCAGAAATTACAGTAAGAAGCATTTTTAGATCGGCATTTACAAAACACAGCAAGATATCTTATGTATTTTATCATTTTTTTCCGTGGAAACACGACCCCTGAGCTGTTTGATGCTCTGCATTTCCACCAGTGCTATTTCATTAACTTGGCATTCATTCAAACCATGTTTGCCGTTAATCACTTTGTGGTAATTGGGTTTGTAAAAAGTGCTTCTCTATGTAAATAGAATGTTATTGATGGATGTGTATTTCACCCTCTAGGCTCCATTGCGGAGACAGATCAAGGCCAAGCCTGCTGGGGCTCAGCCCTGTGGGGTGACCAGCGCTACCGCCCGACGCATCCTACAGTCCCTGGAGCGCATGTCCAGCCCCCTCGCTGTGCGTACCAATAAAGTTGTTTACGTTGAATTAAATATGGAACCCTCAGATTCGCATGAACAGGGGCCATTTCAGCTTGGCACAATGGCTACAGAACTGTCTGATAGAAATGTGTTGTATAGATCCTCTGTGTATATAGTATTAGTGTCAGCTGTTAGGCCTACATTTCTTTATTTCTGGAGAAGCCATTTGAAGTGGTGAATCCGCACAAGGAAATAATGTATACATTTCAACCAGTGGAGGCTGCTGTGGGGAGGACGGCTCATAATAATGGCTGGATGGAGCGAATGGAATGGCATCAAACACATGGAAACCATGGAAATGATGTGTTTGATGTTGTTGATACCTTTCCACCTACTCCGCTCCAGTCATTACCAGAAGCCCGTCCTCCCCAATTATGGTGCCACCAACCTCCTGTGGTGTCAACATGGCTATCAAGCTATGGGAAATGTCTCTGTAGAAAGTTATTTATGTTAACAAATGCATCATTTGTTTGTTTGTGTTTTAACAGGATGCCAAGAGAATCCCCTCTACAGTGTCCTCTCCCTTGTCAACAGTATGTGTTATGAATTTCTCTTTTTTTATATTCTCAATGGTCGTCATTGTTACTTAGCTCACATCTCTTTCTCTTATGTCCTGCAGTCCCTGGATGGCAGCACTCTAGACCGCTCACATTTCCAGGCCCAAAAAAAACGGGTAAGTGTTTGTAAGAGACACCGACCCTTTATCGTGGACATTTTGCTGATATCGTTCATTACGATAAATAACCTATAGGACCCTTCTAGAGAAAGGTTTGAAATTAAATACGTTTGTTAATATGGGTGATTGTGAATGGGACAATTGATAGCGACCACAGTCAAAAGCCCTATTCGGACGGGATTACTTTGCTGTGGGAGGTCGGGTAATGTATGTGCACGAGCACAAAACACCACATCTGTGGTTTTAGTCCCTGCCGAATCTGCCATGTCAGTAATGCTTAAATGGCAGGAGAGTAACAATTCCAGCCAGAATAACCTACAGTTTTTTGGCGAACTCCAAGGTCCTCTGATAATACTAGTCCCGTGTGAATCGACATCCCTGTGTTTTGAGAGAAATGTGTGAAGGCTGGGGGAGCATTTAGGACGTACTGCGGATCGCTAAAATATTCAAATGATTATGAGCACACTTCCTCATTTTAAATATTATGGCGACACTATACCAAAGATGGTTTGGTATGGTTTAGAAATGTGGGAACCAAGCTCGAGTTATCAGTGTAGCCCTGTTATCACCTAGAAAAAAACCTCCAGGCTTCCGTCATAACTGTCAATTTATTGAAAGAAAGGTAAGAATTACAGGGGGCAGTTTGGAAAAACTAATCCTGTCCGAATCGTCCTCTGGAATAACGGACATTCTTGAGTAATAATTACATAACCAACGTTCTTTAGTATTAATAGTCTTGTGCGAAAAGGGCTAAAGTAGTAGTAATTTTAAGGGTAATATTTTAAAAAAATACCTGGTGCACATTGTTATAAACGTATCGTTCTAGTTATTGTGGTAATTCAGTCAATTTATCGGGATATGGATTTTGGTCCATATTGCCCAGCTAGTGTTTATCTTCAAAAACCCAATACAATATCTCTTGACACTGACAGCTGACATTATGGCATTTCAAACCTGGGAAAGAAGGTAGTACCGGAGGCTGTCTAGTGCTCACTTTATAGCCAGACACTCCTTCTCCATGGTTGAATACCTGGTTTCCCTGGGCAAGTGCTTCCGACTCAGGTACAGCACTGGGAGCTCCTCTCATGGCTCCCCTTGGGGCAGTAGAGCTCCAATTCCCACAGCTGACGCGTCCACCTGTACGAGAAACCTCTTCTGAAAATCAGGGCTCTGGAGAACGGGATGAGCACAGGTGTTTTTTCAGCGTCATGAACGCTTCCTCACACTCCTCAGTCCACTTCACAGGGTTGCTGGCCACCTTTTTGAGGTGAGGTTGATCAGGGGAACTGCGATGGTGGAGAACTGGGGAATGAATCTCCGGTACCACCCTGCCAGACCTAGGAAGGACTTCACCTGTGTCTTGGTTCTGCGTTCAGGGCTGTTCCTAAAGGACTCCACTTTTTCCACCTGAGGCCGAACTTTACTTTTACCCAGCTGGCAACCTAGGTACTATGTCTCCTGTTTTACCCACTCACACTTCAGGAGGTTAAGCCTGAGGCTTGCATCATGGATCTTCCCCAGGACTCTGCTAAGACCCTGTATGTGCTCCTCCCAGGAGTGGCTGTAGATCACCACGTCATCCAACTAGGCAGCACAGCAATCGTCACAGTCCTGGAGGACCTTGTCCATGAGCCTCTGGAAAGTTGCAGGGGCCCCATGAAGCCCAAACTGCATAACCTTGAACTGGAACAGGCCCATCAGCATCCGGAAGGCAGTGTAGGCCTTGGACTGTTCGTCCAGGGGCACCTGCCAGTACCCTTTGCAGAGATCCAACGTGGTGATGTAATGAGCTCCACCTATTTTCTTCAGTAAGTCGTCAATGTGGGACATGGGGTAGGCATCAAACTGGGAGATGGCATTCACCTTACGGAAGTCCATGCAGACACGCAAAGAGCCATCCTTCTTTAGGGTGGATGACAATGGGGCTGCTCCATTCACTTGACGATGGTTCGACAACATCCATCTATATCATGGTGTGGACCTTTTCCTTGAGGGATACCACCAGCCTCTCAGGCACACGGTAAGGATGCTGGCGCACAGGGTTCTGGTCAGGTTTCAAACGGATGATGTGTTCAAGGACATGCAAACATTTTGGTACGATGAAGATTTGGCACATGCAATTATATTCAAACCTCTGGGGTTTTATTTGACCAGATTAACCCAGCTGTTGATAATGGCCATATATGGATTGGAGAGCTGAGAATAAAATTTGAGCGTTTTAAATTATTGTATGCGTGTGTACATGGGACATGTTGTTTTGAGTATTTATCTGACTTTTCTGTGTTCCCCTACAGCTGGACTCTCCCCTCCCACCAGTCCAGAGGCTGGTGATCCCAGCATCAGCGTCGGTGTCTGGGAACCGCTCAATGTCCTTCAGGCCCTCTCTGATCCCCGGGTGCCTAACCCGAACCCCCAGAGACACGGTGAGGACCCCCACCTCCACATTAGTCAGCTAATGGCTTCTACGCATCCATACAACTACAGACAGCTAACTATCGATGATGTGTTGAAGTCTTCCCCCAACTCCGACTAACTGTCCATAGCTGTTTCTGCATGTTGAATCGGGACCAACTACGATGTCCAGCAACTAGGGCTGGGCCATATATCAAGTTAATTCAATTAATTTGAATTCATGTTTTGGTGGCATGTTCTGAATGCCTGTATCACAATAATTATTGGTTTGTTTTTATGAGCGTTCTATGTCTTTTTGGTCTCGTCTCCTACTTTGCTGTGTGCACTTTGCACCTTCCCACTCGCACACAGACTCCAAGCCCCTGCCACTCATCACGACAAAATATAACTTCTTCCTCTGACAACAAGCAGTTTAAACACGCTATTTGCATTTGAGGTTTGGTTCAACAGAATCGGTCATATGGAGACCGAAACACTTAGACATTATTTTACTATAATGGACGAGAACTGAACCTTTCTAACGACCCTTTTTGTGTCTCAACTCCCGACATGTATAACAGAGCAGGCCCTACTAAAACGAGAGCATCAATGAACATGATTGTGGGAAATGAATACTCAGTTTGTCGCGCGCGGTACCACGTACCGCTAGCAGCATTTTATAATAATAATTATATGCCATTTATCAGACGCTTTTATCCAAAGCGACGTACAGTCATGCGTGCATACATTTTTTTTGTGTATGGGTGGTCCCGGGGATCGAACCCACTACCTTGGCGTTACAAGCGCCGTGCTCTACCAGCTGAGCTACAGAGGACCACAGACTTATGCGCCAGCTGGCTAGTCTGTATTTTATAAGTGTGCAATGAGCATGAAAATACACTTTTTATATAAGGAATTTGCAACTCTTTCTCTGATAGAAGAATTTAAATGTTAAAAGTAGTGACTAAAAGTATTCCACCCTGAAACTATATAACGGTGTGAAATGTATTAGAATAATAAGACTATAATCTAGTAATGTGTGTGCGTAGGACAAGTTAAGGTTATGATGTTGTGTTACAATTTAGCAATATAAGTAGGAGTTAGGACAGACAACTTGTGACAACTGTGAAACCAATAATGGGAAATAGGCCTCCCAACTCAGGGAGGGGAGAAACTGTTAGGCTCTGAGAAGATTATGAAACATGTTGCAGAATTGAGATAACAAATATGTGTACAGTGGAAAAATACAGCCCGCCTAAAGTGGGTGGGATTTTCGTCTGACGTGTGTGTATAAAGGATGGGCTCTGAACTTGAGAGGCCAGAGCTCTCATGAATAAAGAAACTGATTCATTGCAGAAATTGGACTTTAATTCTCTAGTTTACATTTTAGTCATTTTAGCAGATGCTCTTATCCAGAGCAACTTACAGTTAGTGCATACATTATTATTTTATTTTTCATACTGGCCCCCCGTGGGAATTGAACCCACAACCCTGGCGTGGCAAACACCATGCTGTACCAACTGAGCTACATCCCTGCCGGCCATTCCCTCCCCTACCCTGGACGATGCAGGGCCAATTATGCGCCGCCCCATGGGTCTCCCGGTCACGGCCGGCTACGACAGAGCCTGGATTCGAACCAGGATCTCTAGTGGCACAGCTAGCACTGCGATGCAGTGCCTTAGACCACTGCGCCACTCGGGAGACATTAATAGTTAATAATGAATTAAACAACCTCTGGGAATTATTCAAAGCTTGAGAAGTAGTTGACTTCAACCATTGAGATAACAAAATTCTCGTGACATTCTCATTCTGAGCAATAATAATAATCTTATCCAGGTAGGCCACTCCAAGTTGGTTATAAAGATTAGCTCTCTACTCACTAGCAGGTGGGCTTGTGTTTGATAGATTGTTTATGAGACCTGTGTTAATTTTGGCTCTGGTTATTTTTTTTAAACAAAAATTGCATTTTCATAGACATACTTGAAAGCCAGATCAGTGATTTGCAAAAAAAAAAAAAAATGCAGGTTAAACTATTTTTGATAAAATTAATAAATAGGTATAATTTTACAAGCCCTGAATTCATTAGATTATTCCTGACTGTTTGAGTTGCAGTGTGTATTGACCTTAGACCACTGCGCCTCCACTATAGATCCTGGTTCGAATCCAGGCTCTGTCGTAGCCGGCCGCGACCGGGAGACCCATGGGGCGGCGCACAATTGGCCCAGCGTCGTCCAGGGTAGGGGAGGGAATGGCCGGCAGGGATGGCGTTTGCAATGCCAGGGTTGTGGGTTCGATTCCCATGGGGGGCCAGTATGAAAAAAATAAAATAATAATGTATGCACTCACTAACTGTATGTCACTCTGGATAAGAGCGTCTGCTAAATGACTAAAATGTAAACAAAGCTTATTTAGAGATAAAAATAAAGTATATTTATACTGTATATTGTGCATCACCCACAAGAGATATGATTTTTAGGCAGTATCGCCCAGCCCTACCAACTGCGACTACACACCGGGCTGATTCTTTTAAACCCCGTCCATAGACCGTTGGGTTGGCTGTAGTTGGGTAGATGTGAAGGTTGTTTCATTCAAGAGTTGCTTTCCAAATGTACAGCCAGTCCATAGAACCAGACTTGTTTTGCTTCATGTTTAACCTTTGCTCCACCATCTCCAGCCCACAAGACAATCCCCTCTGATTCCTGAAGCAGTGGCAGGTCCTTCTCAAAGCACAAGCAGCAGTCTGCCCACCTACCCTCTGTCCAGCACTCCTGCAGCCAGAAGCACAGGGTCAGGAGGAGGGAAGGTGAAGAGGGAGAGGACCAGCACACGACCCTCGTCCAAACGACCTGAAGACGAGGTGGGTGCTCATCTCTTATTCTCTCTGATCCCTTCTCCTATTCTGTCTGGCGAGAAGTTTGGGATCCAGGCAATAAATGATTGGTTAGTTCTGAAATGTTTCTGAGCAGGGCTGGAAATGGGGGTGGGGGGGGTCGGGTTGAAACAATAATTGTCTAATTGTGCAAGGAAATTATTGCCATACGCCGCTATGTGTAGTAGAGATATTCTGGTTCATGTATAGTACTGTTAACTGTTTTCTACACTCTGACTCCTCTCTTCAGATTGCTGAGCTACCGGCCCTGCCGGCCATCTCTCTACTTATCAACACCTCCATCAGTCTGCCCAGCTTTAGCTTCTCCACCACCAAGCCCACTGCCACTGTCACCTCCACTCCTGTCCTGGAGGAGCCCGTCACTAACGAGGTCCGTCCAGCTCCATTTGACTGTGTCCCATAGGACACCCTATTCCCTTTATAGTGCTCTACTTTTGGCCCCATAGGGCCCTGGTTAAAAGTAATGCACTATTTATGGAAAAGGGTGCCATTTGGGACGTAGCCATTGACTTTTGATATCTTCAGTTGTTTTTATTTGAATGTATCCAAATGTGTTTAGTGTCCATCCTAATGACCATGAAGTCTGTCTTTCTTTCAGGTGCCACCGACTACAGCCCCCTCTACCCCTCCCTCCACACCTTTCACCTTCTCCTCCCCTATTGTCATGACAACTGCTGCTAGCCCACCGTCCTTCTCCCCATCTGTAAGTCCCACAGCTTTACCGCAGCTTGAGTATGCCTGCTGTGATGAGTGTTACCCCCGCAGAATATCGTTGTTTCTGTTTTGACATTCCACAATGGTGAGATCACTGCACTGACTGATGTTGACCATCTTCTGTCTCTTAGTCTGGGTTTACATTCAGTGCACCTGTAGTGAAAACGGGTCTGTCACTATCCAACGGGAAGATGGCCACCCCAGTAGTGGCAGCAGGTAAGCGTGGATCACCTCCTGGATAAGAACAAGATCCAAGCCTTGATGTAAAGGGAAACCAATTTCATAGCTAATGGTTCTTCTGTTGTTTCCATTGGTGTCTCTGTAGTGAAGCACGCTGCCAGTGAGAGCAGGGAGGAGTTAGAAGGGCCGTTTAAACCAGCCAAGGTGTTGAAACAGGGCAGTGTGCTGGACCTCCTCAAAGGACCTGGTGAGAATGACGGAAATATTAATACAGAATCTTGACGTTTCTAGTAACGCTTGACCTGATCTCTATTATAAGACTTACAAGTCATCTGCCATCAGCTGTCATGACTGTTTATGTGATCTGTCATGACTGTTTATTTCAAAAAAAATTTTTTAGTCATTTAGCAGACGCTCTTATCCAGAGCGACGTACAGTTAAGTGAGTGCATACGTTTTCATACTGGCCCCCCCGTGGGAAACGAACCCACAACCCTGGAGTTGCAAGCGCCGTGCTCTACCAACTGAGCTACAGGGGACTACATGTGATCTGTCATGACTGTTTATGTAATCTGTCATGACAGTGTTATGTGTCTCTTTTTAATGGTGGGTTTAAATTAGTGTATTTTCAAATAGTGTCTTTATATTTCTATCTGGTTTTAGGGTGGTTTTTAACCCTAGCTCTTCTTTCCCATAGGGTTTGCCGTTCCTGTTACTCAGACCTCCCCTGTCCCCAAAGCCCCCCAGGAGACCCCAGCCCTGTCCAGCGCCCCCTCCCTTGGGGACTTGTTCAAAGTGCCTACAGGCTCCTGGGACTGTGATGTCTGCATGGTGCAGAACAAACCCACTGACACAAAGTGTGTGGCCTGTATGACCCCACAACCAAATTCTTCTTTAGCAAAGACCCACAGTAAACCCTTCACAACGTTGTCCGGGTTGGAGGGTTCCACCACCACCACTACTGCTGCTGCTGGTTTTGGAGCCCTGTTCACAAAGCCTGCGGGAAGCTGGGACTGTGACACTTGTCTGGTTCAGAACAAGCCTCAAGTGGTCAAATGTGTGGCCTGTGAGACAGCCAAGCCTGGGACTGGAGTTAAGGCCACACTGACTCTGCCTGCCTTCTCGGAGGCTAAGACTCTGCCCGCTGCTGCCCCCCTCCTGGGCTTCGGGGACAAGTTTAAGAAGCCGGAGGGTGCGTGGGAGTGTGACGTGTGCATGGTGCAGAACAAGGCGCAGGACATCAAGTGTGTTTCCTGTATGAGCACTAAGCCAGCTAATGAGAAGAGGGAACAACCTGGTGGGTTTTCTTTTTCTTGCTTATAGGTGTTTTTTCTCATGAAGTTGCCTGTTGAGATAATTTGTTGTCTCCATACTGCTATCTTGACCGACTGTTCATTTTGCATCAAAAGATCTTCAAGAAAGTATTTTAAAGGAAATCTGGTGCAAATGTATGTTTACATTTTTGCTTATCGCTCATATCATCTTCCTAACAGGAGCGACGGCAGCGCCTCCATCTCTAACTCCCGCCCCTGTCAGCACCACTCCTCTACTAGGCTTTGGGGCCCAGTTCAAGAAGCCAGAGGGAGCGTGGGAGTGTGACGTGTGCTGTGTTCAGAACAAGGGAGCAGACCAGGCATGTGTGGCCTGTCAGACCCACAAGCCTGGGGTTAAAGTAGAGCCCAAAGGTACGTACAGCTGTCAACTGCCATCTTTCTGTATTATAGAGGCTTCGTTAGAGGGCTTTGTCATTGTAGCAAGATCTTTTGATATTAGTGAGGAGAGATGTGAAGCCTGAACTAAGATAAGGAAATTCATGATAACAGTTTAGTTTTTTTAATACATAATTCTGAAGTAGTTAATTTATGTGATCCTCTGTCTCTTTCAGCGTTCGGTTCCTCGTCGTTTGGTATCCAGTCCTTGTCTGACACCGGCTCAGGGGGTTTCAAGTTTGGCTTGGGGGCGTCATCGGACTCAGCCTCTGCTTCTGGGGGCTTCAAATTCGGCGGCAACCTCTCTGACTCCTCCTCTTCAGGGGGCTTTAAATTCGGCGGCACCCTCTCTGACTCCTCCTCAGGGGGCTTCAAATTCGGTGCAGCTGGCTCATCAGACACCACCTCGACAGACACCAGCAGCTCTGCAGGCTTCAAATTCAGCAGCTCCACAGAGGGTTTCAGATTTGGAGCTGCTGCTGCTTCCACCCCTGCAGCGGCCGAGGGGAAGAAGGATGAAGCCCTGAGTATGGGTGCCGGGTTCAAATTTGGCGTCAGCGGTGGGATCTCGTTCGGCACTGCAGCAGCTGTTAGCACGGAGAGCAAACCCTCGGACGGAGGGTTCTCCTTTGGACTATCAAAACCGGCAACCACAACCACCTCCTCTACTTTAAGCCTTCCTGTCTCTACAGAGAACGACAGTGGAGCTTCTACAGAAACAGCAGCAGCTCATATGTTTGGGAAGCTGGCTGAGGCCGAGCCTCCTGCCCTGGCCACACCACTAGGGGGCAGCATATTCGGGGAATCGCAAGAGAAAGACCAGGACCCTTTCACCTTTGGGAAGCCTGACGAGAAGGAGGCCTCTATGAGGTCTGGGTTCCTATTCAGTGCTGCAAGTAAAGAGGCGGAGGAATCGGCTCCCCCTGGAGGCTTTTCCTTCAGTATGCTAGATCCATCTGCAGACCAGCCCAAAGCACCTACCTTCGCCTTTGGGAAGCTGGCAGACGACAGCGAGACCCCAGCAGCAAAAGCCCCTAAGCCCTCATTCAGCTTTGGGCAAAGCTCTACAGGTGGGAGGGATACGCTGCAATAGTTAATGTTATTATTAACCAATTTTGTATTTGTCAATTCTATAAATGGATGTTCTACTATAATTCTATAAATGGATGTTCTACTGTAAAATTATGAATATTTTTTTTTTGATTATTATTTTTTTCCTCCACTATTCAAATGTATGTGTTTGTAATGAATGAACACGCTGTCTACACTTAAACCAATCATTCTTCACTTCATTCAGTCCTTTTTGTTGTTTTTCTTGCAGATGCTGCAGCCTCAAAGCCAGCGTTTGGGTTCATGGCAACCACCACCTCTTCTTCCACCACCACTGCCCCCAGTCTGTTTGGGCCCCTGAGCAGCACTACCCCAGCCCCTATCCCGGCCCCCAGTACCTACCTGTTCGGGCAGAGTGCCTCCAGTGAGGCCACCCCAGCCAAGTCCTTCTTGTTTGGGCCGAACCAGGACAGCCTGCCTGCCCCTGCAGCCTCCCTGAACCCTGGCCCGGCTCAGCCCTTCCTGTTTGGGTCTGGACCTAACACTGCTGCTCCCTCCTTCACTTTTGGAGCGGCAGCGCCCTCCACTGCCTCATCTACAGGTTGGCTACTTTTAGGACTTATTTTCAAGGATTCTTTTTTATTTTTCACCCCTGACTGTTGCTGCTGCACTATTCTACTAATGTGAATTGATAGCGTTGTGGTTTTTCTGCAAACTTCTCTTTATCTAATAAGTGAAGCTGTTGGCCACATTGACCAATAGTTGACCCAAGATGTTTTGCCGCTTTAGCGCTCTTGTTTGTAGTTGGTTGAAATGTAATCAGCGCTATTTTAACTTCTCTCTCTCTCTCCAGCTCCATCAGCAGCCCATGCTCCGTTTGTATTCAGCCCTGCCTCCTCCACTGGCTTTGGGTCGGGACAAGCTCCTACCTTTGGTCAGGGTACCTCCCAGCCCAATGCCCCTGCGTTTGGTTCTCCAGCACCGTCCCCCTTCTCTGCCACAGCCTCCCAGCACTCTGTCCCTGTGTTCGGCCAGCAAGCCAACTCCACGCCCGCTTTTGGCTCATCCACCCCCGCCACACCAGGTGGGTTTCTACTGTCACTTTATCTGGGGTTATTTTGTGTATGTACAGTGCATTTAGAAAGTAGTCACACCCCATGACTTTTTCCACATTTTGTTGTTACAGCCTGAATTTAAAATGGAGTACATTTTTATTTTGTGTCACTGGCCTACACACACTACCCCATAATGTCAAAGTGGAATTATGTTTTTCGAAATGTTTACAAATTAATTAAAAATGGAAAGCTGAAATGTCATGAGTCCAATAAGTATTCAAGCCCTTTGTTATGGCAAGCCTAAAATAAGTTGAGGAGTAAAAATGTGCTTAACAAGTCACATAATAAATTGCATGCTCTGTGTGCAATAATAGTGTTTAACATGATTTTTGAATCACTATACCCCACACATACAAACCCCACACATATCTGTAAGGTCCATCAGTCAAGCAGTGAATTTCAAACATATTCAACTACAGAGACCAGGGAGGTTTTCAAATGCTTCGTGAAGAAGGGCACCTATTGGTAGATGGGTAAAAATAAAAAAGCTGACATTGAATATCCCTTTGAGCATGGTGAAGTTATTAATTAGACTGGATGGTGTATTAATACACCCAGTCACTACAAAGATACAGGCGTCCTTCCTAACTCAGTTGCCGGAGAAGAAGGAAACTGCTCAGGGATTTCACAATGAGGCCAATGGGGACTAAAACAGTTACACAGTGTAATGGCTGTGATAGGAGAAAACTGAGGATGGATCAACGACATTGTAGTTACTCCACAATACTAATCTAAATGGCAGAGTGAAAAGAAGGAAGCCTGTACATAATACAAATATTCCAAAACATGCATCCTGTTTGCAATAAGGCACTAAAGTAAAACTGCAAAAAATATGGCAAATAAATTAACTTTGTCCTAAATACAAAGCGTTATGTTTGGGGCAAACACAACACATCACTGACTACCACTCATCATATTTTCAAGCATGGTGGTGGCTGCATCATGTTATGGGTATGCTTGTCATTGGCAAGGACTAAGTAGCTTTTTTGGATAAAAAGAAACTGAATAGAGCTAAGCAAAGGCTAAATCCTAGAGGATAACCTGGTCTGCTTTCCAACAGACACTGGGAGACAAATTCACCTTTCAGCAGGACAATAACCTAAAACACAAGGCCAAATATACGCTGGAATTCCTTACCAAGACGACAGTGAATGTTCTTGAGTGGCCAAGTTACAGGTTTGAATTAAATCAGCTTGAAAATCTATGCAAGACTTGAAAATGGCTGTCTAGCAATGATCAACAACCAACTTGACAGAGCTTCAAGAATTTTAAAAAGAATAATGTGCAAATGTTGCACAATCCAGGGTTACAAAGCTCTTTAGAGACTTACCCAGAAAGACAGCTGTAAACGCTGCCAAATGTACTTCTACAAAGTATTGACTCAGGAATGTGAATACTTATGTAAATGAGAGATTTCTGTATTTCCTTTTCAATAAATTTGCTAAAATATTTCAACATATTTTCACTTTGTCATTATGGGGTGTGTAGATGAGTGAGATAAATATATTTTGAATTCGGCCTGTAACACAACAAAATGTGGAGTAAGTCAAGGGGTATGAATACATTCTGAAGATAATAAAAAACAAGAATCATTTAAGATTGATATGATATTCAAAAAATACATTTTACTACTCAGTCTGATTAGTGTGATGGCTTTTGAATCATCCTATCACGCAACGTTAAAGATTCAACTTCAATGATTCACCTGGTGTCCATGGTTTTACCAGGTGGAGGTTTCCAGTTCGGAGGAAACAGTGCATTCGGCACCTCCAGTAACAGCACAGGGGTGTTTGCTTTCGGAGGGGCACCAGGAGGGTCCCCCGCCCCTTCTGCCACGCCCTCCATGGCACCCCAACCCAGTGCACCTGGAGGTGGCTTTAACTTCGCAGCGGCCCCTACCTTTATTGGGTGAGTCCAATAGCTCCAACTCCTGATAAGGATTGGCCCAAATTCACCTGTCCCTATATAAATACATTGGTATTCATATGCTCTCAGAATTGTTGCATCCCCTGGTTTAGTGGTTGTTATTAGTCCCAAGTCATTGTGTGTGTATGTATGTGTATATATATATATATGTATATATATATATGTATATATATATGCGCTCAGTTGGTAGAGCATGGCACTTGCAATGCCAGGGTTGTGGGTTTGATTCCCCCGGGGGGCCAGTATGAAAACTTTTATGCACTCAATAACTATAAGTCGCTCTGGTTAAGAGCGTCTGCTAAATGACTAAAATGTAAAATAATAATTTTTAAAAAATGGATGCCTTTTTGTACCAAACGTCTGCAAGTTATTGGATGTGCGTACGCTAAGTTTGAATTGTGTGTTGATGTCTTATCCCCTACTACAGGTCAACGAAGAGCACCACCTTCACTGCAGCCCCTGCAGGACAGAACTCAATCGCTAGACGCAAGATCAAAACAGCTGTCCGGCGTAAGAAGTAAAACATCCATCGGACTAGACTTGACCCTTTCAAGCATAGACGGGACTACTTCCTCTGGACAAACACTGAAGTACTTAGCATGTGAAGAAAGATGCTATGATGAAGCCCCTATCTGGGGATGTATGGGTGATATTCTGATGGGTGGGTGGGTGGTAGACCCAAGAGCAACTAGAGAGAGGGACCCTCGTACAGAGCAGGTGTCAGACTTTAAAAAATAAATAAACTGCAAATGAACCTATGACGGCAACAACACAATCAAGCGAGAAACGTCTGCTCAACAAACAGGAAAGATGTATATTTTCAACACCTCCAAACGTCTGCTAGAACATTGTCATGACTTTTTGTAATTAAAATATAAATGCAAAAACTGAAATTGAAAGAGTTGATAGTGTAAAAATCTTACTGTTGCTTTGATTAGTATGGGTGATCAGGTTATGAACTGCAAAAGTTCATGCAGAGGTTAATAAAAGCCGTGGGACGAATTCCAAATGGCACCCTACTCCCTATGTAGTGCACTTTGTTTAACCCATGAGTTTGAAGCAGTGTACATCATGGGGTCTGGAATAGGGTGCAATTTCAGACGTTGCCATGGTGTCAATGGCGTGTATGCTGTATGTACAGGTTTCTGTGTACTGAATGACCGTGTTTGTTTTGAGGTGTTTGGTTTCATTGTACATGTTGAGGGGTGTGTGTGTGTGTGTGTGTGTGTGTGTATATGTGTATAAACTGAATGGAAGTGTCATGTGTGGTAGTGGCCGGTTGAGGCTGTCAGACAGTCGTAGGTGAGAAGCATATGAATGTGTTTAAATGGAGGCAGTAAGGAGGATGGGGAAGAAAGGACCGTGGAGATTGGGGCCGGAGGCTGACTCCTAAAATACCCTCCTTAGGACTTTGTACATCTGTAGTTCCAAATCTGTTCACTGTTCTTACTTTTTATTTTTTACCCCTCTGTCGCTCTCCTCTCCTTTATTCTCATATTTTCTCTTGTTCCCTCTTTCTCTTCCCTTTATTATGATTCATGTTCTTTCCCTTCACCTTCTGCCGCTCTCTCTTAATTGGCCTTTGAATATTATAAAAACCTGTAAATAGTCATTTGCTTTTTTTTTTTATCTGTGAAGTTGAATTTGTGTGTTAAACCAACTCCGCATTCAGCATTTTTGTCATTAGAATTTATTATGTAAATCCCTATATTCAAAGTTGCCTGAAATCCATTTAAAAAAAACTTAAATGCAAATTGGGATCCTTTGAAGACTAAAAGTATATTGGCATTTCTGATCCACTTTTGTTTGGACCAAAACCAGTATTGTACAAAGTATTAGTATATATTTTTCTATTGCTTGTTTAAATGGACTAGGGTGACTTTGGATAATAAGGAAGTCGATTTCATTTTAAAGCCATGATTGTTACTGGATGAGTAATAAAATAAGATCCATGGGTAATTGCCATCAATAAAACTATAATATGTAATTAACATGTTATGATTTCTTTCCCACATAATAATAGGGTGCATTTTGGCAGGAGAGTTAATGTTTTATAAGGAGCTAGTACACCAGAATGAGAAGATTGTGAACACATACGATTTCATGTACGAAAATATGTTTATTTATTTTTTATAACAGAACATGTCAAAGGCGCATTGGCCACTTTGCGTAAAAAAATATGGTAAAAATAGGCCTACCTAACAGTGAACAAGAACGTTGGATATATTTTCTACATATATATTTACAGATTGATTTAACTACTTTCTACTCCACAGCCCACCGGTATTTCGGCACTACTTCGTTGCGCTGTGGGCAGTATCGGCGCGTGTGAGCTTTGTCTCCGGTGGCGGCACACATAGGACAAATGTAGGTCCTCAGAATGGGGCAGATGACTTTGCCGTCTTTGGATTTCAGTTTGTGGCTCCGGTAGATCTCTGCCGTTTCTCCATTTTGCTTGCAGAAGCCGCAGTAATCGCCGGAAGCCATGCTGTGGCTCGTGTTGTCTGAAATGCTGCTTGCAGAGCTCAGGCTCTCAGTCCCGATCGAGTTCAGACGAAACCACGGTTGCTCCTGGCGACCGGTCTGGCCCTCGGCGTCCGGTACTTGCTCCTTCAGCTGGGTATAGGAGGTCTCTGTCCGATCTGCGACGTCACACAGTTTCTCCAGCAGCCTCCCTAGGTTCATGTAGTCATGCCACATGTCGAAATAATGGGTCGGGGGCGGGGCGAGGCTGCTCTCCTCAGCGATGAGGTTTCTTTGCATTGTAATCTTCGCGAAAATCATGTACAGGCGTCTGGAACTCCACATCAATAATGTCTGTGGCCTGGATGCATTCCAGCAATTTATAGTAGCCTAGTGGCCCGGGCCAAACATTTTAACAATGTAGCTTGTCTGTCTGGTCGAAAAGGGGCGGCATTTGCGAAGTGTGTTGTCTGTCCCAAGGGACTGACCCCAGCCAGGTGGTAAACATTGCCACGTGCAGTTTGTTATTGTTTTGACATGAACTTTTTCAAGTGCAACACATGAGTAGATGTTGAGCTGTCTGTCAGAGAGAATGAAAGGTTTAACGGTTATTCTGTTTGACGTTGATGTGCCGTAATCCCTCTTTCCGCATTATAGTTCTGCAGTGTTTGAACACAGATTTTTAACATTGTACACCAAACAAGGAAGCGTCTATGCAGATTTGTATATTTATATCTGTAGGACAATTTTATTTTATTATACCAATATTGTGTCGCTTTATAGGGTTTTGGTAAATCACAGGTAAAATCTGATTTGAGTGGTCCCTGTTGTCAATTCACATTAATGTTTTCCTTAATGAATTGTTTTCTAAGTTATATGAACAATAACCTACAGTCGTATGCATTTAAAGCCAAACTTGTGTAGGAAATGCTTCAACTGTGCATTGGGGATGGAATTCCTGATTATTACAGCAAATGTGTAAATATGTTAGCTATATGAATGGAGTGCTCAGTAAGGCCATGAGGGTTTAAACTTTAAAGGTCAATGGGTATCTTCTTGATGTTGTTTTGCAGCTGCACATGGAGCCTCATATGTCTAGACGGAGGATGTCTAGACTGAAACTTATCACATTTAGGCTCCTTAGCGTTTTGACTGCATGCAAACCCTCATGTATTCTCCAACAGCTGCATGTTTTAAAAAAAAACATTTTTAGTCATTTAGCAGACGCTCTTATCCAGAGCGACTTACAGGAGCAATTAGGGTTAAGTGCCTTGCTCAAGGGCACATCGACAGATTTTTCACCTAGTCGGCTCGGGGATTAGAACCAGCGACCTTTCGGTTACTGGCACAACGCTCTTAACCACTAAGACACCTGCCGCCCCGCATGTGTTACTTACATTGACACAGTTGGCCAGTACAAATGCAAACATTGTACTCTGTGGTAGTGACGGTGCAACATTCTGTTTAACATTATACAATATGTTTACTGGCTCACTTGGGATGTCAGAAATTGTTGTTTTGTCACAGACTGTAAAGCTCCAAAGGAGGATTCCAAGTGATTCTGAAGAGTTCTGAAACTTCCCACATTTCACTTTTAATGTTTGCTAATAAGCTGCTGAAGGTTCAAGCTCTTTGCTATATGCTTCTGTCATTTTCATCCTTTTGAATTCATCATGTGGTAAGTGATTTATTTTGGAAGTGGTTTAATGCATTCTCCTGTTAGTAAAGGCTTAATATCATTTTAGGCACTGACTGTGAAATCTGAAAAATGTATTATTTTACTCTAAGAAGTGGACATTAAGAAGCCAGTGTTGGTCCAAATTGCACAAAAATGACACCCTTTTAGCTTTTTTTTTAGGTCCCGTGTAGCTCCGTTGGTAGAGCATGGCGTTTGCAACGGCAGGGTTGTGTGTTCGATTCCCACAGGGGGCCAGTATGAAAATGTATGCACTCACTAAGTCGCTCTGGATAAGAGCGTCTGCTAAATGACTAAAATGTAAGTCAATAATTGTCCATTTGGTAGAATTTGAAAAATGCAAGACAACACTGAACAAAAATATAAACTCAACATGTAAAGTGTTGGTTCCATGAGCTGAAATAAAAGATCCCAGAAATGTTCCATACGCATATAAATCTTATTTCTCTCCAATTTTGTGCACAAAAAAGGCCACTCTAAAATGTAAATGTCGTTTTAGAGAATTTGGCTGCACAACCAACTGGCCTCACAACCGCAGACCACGTGTAACCACGCCAGCCCATGACCTCCACATCCGGCTTCTTCACCTGCAGGATCATCTGAGACCAGCCACCCGGACAGCTGATGAAACAGGATTATTTCTGTCTGTAATGAAGTCATTTTTGTGGGGGAAACTCATTCTGATTGGCGAGGCCTGGCTGCCCAGTGGGTGGAAATCCATAGATTAGGGCCTAATGAATTTATTTCAATTAACTGATTTCCTTATATGAACTGTAACTCAGTCAAATAATTGAAATTGTTGCATGTTGGGTTTATATTTTTGTTCAGTATATATCCTCTAATAATTCCTCTCCAGGCATGAAACCAAGCTTTCTGAAGCCTGGCCTGAGGTACACCCAACCTGATTGGTCATTCAACAACAATCTGGTCACCAATAGATCAAAGCTGCAGAGGGCCTCAGCCAATCAGATCAACCAGGACCTTCACTTTACACGTGGATATGCTTCCACTCAGGTAAGGTAACAGTGTGGCTAGCCATTGGTTGTTACCCCAGCCCTTTTAGAGGAATACTTCGGCTCTCTTTTCAGTTTATAGGAATACACCCTTGCACACCTCACGTTCTAAAGGGGAAATCTCAAATCTAGCAGTTGTTCTGACAAAACAGCAGATCCAGTCTATATTAGGCAATGGCAAACGACCAATATATTACTTCAATGAAATTAATTGACTCCACTGGAATGTAGTTTCCTCCTCTCTCCCCCCTGTTGGTCTAGATACGCTGGGCCACCCAGAGCACCAAGAACCAACTATCCTACCGCGTAGAGGAGCTGGGGCACTGGCAGAGCCAATCAGCTGGCAGCATCGGCAGAGTAGACCAGGAGATGGCTACCCTAGTGAAGGTAGAGTGGAGTCAGAGGTCACATTCCCCTGCTCAGATGTTGCATGCATCAACCAATGGTTGCATGCCACGTCATCGACTGACAGATTGCTATAACATATGATGTTGTTAGCTGATACCTAAAATACCTATCCAGGTGTTGTAAGATCTGGCAGGCGTCAGCAATGCCTGGGCAGAGGAATGCGCCCAGAGTCTATGCAATGAGAACAGTTGGGACACTCAAGACACATCACTGCCCTTGATACTGATTTATAACAGACAAGAAGACTTAGAGATGCAACCAACGTCTCAGAATGTTCAGATTTCAATGTGTTGTGTAGAACCAGGTGATTGGTGATCATGTAGACTAGGGAATCTGCTCAACATTCCCATGGCTCTGGACATTCTATATGTTGCACCTCACGGTCTGTGACTGTAAATGGCCCTCTCTTGTCATGTGTGTGATTTGAACTGATTTCACAGGTGTTGGGTGTTTCCAGGTGAAGGCGATCGCAGAGCGCTGTCTGCAGGCGAAGGTCCTGTACAGGCAGGTGTTGAGGGAGTGTGTGGCGCCGAGACGGCCGGACCTGGTCCATGACCACATGGAGGCTGAGCTGAAGAGGGAGGTGGAGCTGGCTGAGGAGATCATCCACCTGATCCAGTAGAAGATCCACCTGGTCCTGGACAACCTCCGGTCAGAGATCGGCACCCTATTCCCTATGTAGTATACTACTTTTGACCAGGGCCCATAGGCTGCTGTTGTGATCTCAACTATTCCAGTGACGTCAGTTAATGATTTGCGGATTGTAAGGTCTGTGTGACGCACGCTTTGTCTCAACTGTATCAAATCAGGTCCATGGTCATGTAAGGAATCGTCTCATTGTGTCTGCAGAATGTTCAACTATGGCCTAGCCAGTCTCCAGACCTTAATCCCATAGAAAATCTATGGAGGGAGCTGAAGGTTCGAGTTGCCAAACGTCAGCCTCGAAACCTTAATGACTTGGAGAAGATCTGCAAAGAGGAGTGGGACAAAATCCCTCCTGAGATGTGTGCAAACCTGGTGGCCAACTACAAGAAATGTCTGACCTCTGTGATTGCCAACAAGGGTTTTGCCACCAAGTACTAAGTAATGTTTTGCAAAGGGGTCAAATACCTATTTCCCTCATTAAAATGCAAATCAATTTATAACATTTTTGACATGTGTTTCTCTGGATTTTGTTGTTGTTATTCTGTCTCTCACTGTTCAAATAAACCTACCATTAAAATTATAGACTGATCATATCTTTGTCAGTGGGCAAATGTACAAAATCAGCAGGGGATCAAATACTTTTTTCCCTCACTGTATCTGCATTGACGCTTTTTGCACTAACCTTTTACTCATCACATACGCTGCTGCTACTGTTTATTATCTATCCTGTTGCCTAGTCACTTTATTCCTAGTTATATGTACATGTCTACCTCAATTACCTTGTACATCGACTCAGTACTGGTACTATTCTATTTTTATTTTTTATTTTTTATTTTTTCTCTCTTTGTTTGGAAGGGCCTGTAAGTAAGCATTTCACTGTTAGTCTACACCTGTTGTTTACGAAGCTTGTGTCAAATACAATTTGATTTGATCTGGGACCAGGCTATAATAATATAATAATATGCCATTTAGCAGATGTGCGCATACATTTTTACGTATGGGTGGTCCCGGGGATCGAACCCACCACCCTGGCGTTACAAGCGCCGTGCTCTACCAATTGAGCTACAGAGGATCACTATCTTATGGTCCTCTGTAGCTCAGCTGGTAGAGCACGGCGCTTTTAACGCCAAGGTAGTGGGTTCGATCCCCGGGACCACCCATACACAAAAAAAAAAAAATGTATGCACGCATGAATGTAAGTCGCTTTGGATAAAAGCGTCTGCTAAATGGCTTATTATTATTATCTATCTGGCTGATCTGATGTCATTCCTGTATGTCTGACTCCCTGTGAGTATCCCTGTTGGTGGTGTAGCTGATGAATGCTCTGGAGACCCAGCGCTGTGCCACTGACTTCGGCCTGAGGAAGAGGCTGAACGAGCTGTGCCGTGCCAGGGATACTTTGGAGTGGGAGAAACAGCAGGTGTTCAGCTCTCCTGGTCCTAGTCATGTTGTTCATTCATCTGCCATGCAGTTGGAACCTGCCTTTTGATCACTTGGCATTTCTGTAAATATTTACACTGTTGTGAAATGTGCTGTAAACCCATCAGAGACCTAAAGAG